TCAGTGGGCTGTGTCTATGGGTTAATTTTTACGAGGAGTATACTTCGATGACAAGTCCGTGACCGCATCCCCTATTAGGCAAGACAACCCAGAAGCTATGTACTCACTGAGAACGCAATTTACATAAATTCTACCCAGAATAGATCTTTCATAAAATTTAGAAAAAGTTGCCTTGGTAAGTATAAGACTGATAGTTAATGGACCAGATATCTACCCGATGATATGCAGGCGAAGTAAAATGTCCCTTAGAAATAAGGTGACACTCTACAAAACTTGCATACGCCCCGTCATGACCTATGCAAGTGTAGTGTTCGGTCACGCGGCCCGCACTCACTTAAAATCCTTCCAGATTATTCAATCCCGTTTTTGCAGGATAGCCGTCGGAGCCCCGTGGTTCGTCAGGAACGTCGACCTCCATGACGACCTGGACTTAGAGTCCGTCAGTAAGTATTTGCAGTCGGCGTCGATGCGCCACTTCGATAAAGCGGCACGACACGAGAACCCTCTCATCGTGGCCGCCGGTAACTACATTCCCGATCCTGCGGACAGAATGGAAAGCAGTCGACGTCGCCCAAAACACGTCATCTCGGATCCTCCCGATCCACTAACGGTGCTTTTAGGTACTTCAAGCACCGGTCACCATTCTCGTCGAACCCGTCAAATTAGCCGAGCAAATTAACTCTCAGACACAGCCCACTGAGTTTCTCGCTGGATCTTCTCAGCGGGTCGCGTTTCCGATCCGGTGGTGGATTCTGCGAAGCACGGCTCTTGCTAGGGTTCGTGTTAGCATCGTCGTCAAGTTTGAGCCCCGTGAGCTCACCTACAAACGTTAGGGCGAAGCTGAAATAGCCTCTCAAGGCTATCAGCATAGGTAGGAAAAAAGAAAAAAAAAAAAAAAAAGGACCTGATACAAAGGCAACTCCCAGGAAATGGAGACGCTTTTTAATTTATCTGAATTAAAAAAATAAAGCCGATGAAACCTCAATTTACATCTAATTCTGTTACGCTAGTATATCCAAACGATTTAATAATATTTTTACGCTTTTATCTCGCTTTTTTTTATTGTCATTATATTATTTGAGACGTTTCGAATACAGTTGTTACAGATGTCGTGCTACAGGATGCCCACGTCCATCACTAAAAATCGTAAAAGTTGTTTTATATAACCATGTTTATGACTCGAGAAAATCGAAGAAAATATTTATTACACATTCAACTGAAGGAAGCTGTCCATTGAACCACTGGTATTTAAAATGTGAATGTTCTGCGGCTGGTAACGAGCAAACGTTTTCAAACAAAACATGAGTAACATTTGATATGCGGCTTCCTCCTCCTCGAGTCGTGTTCCTCATGTCTGAGGGTCGTGACCACCATCACCCATGAGCTTCAATCTTAGGATCTTTTTCCACTTTCCCCTGTCCACGGCGTCATGCGATATGCGGCTTAATTACATATAAAACCTATTCGATTCGGGACTTTCCAGCCAAGTTGCATCGACCGTAATCACAAGGGGCTTAAGCGAGGGAACAGAGCTATACACCTAACGTAACGCCTATAAAACCAACATTATTAATACAGTACTAGCATGTACAATAATAAAACTCCTACTACCTTTAAAAATAAGGTACCATCATCTGTTTGTAAGATAAAGAAATAAATTATAAACTATAATATTTACTTTCTTCTTCTTTGTCTATTATTTCTACTTATGACATAATAAGTTCACCTATGTGCACCATATACATATATGTTCATGTAAATATGTATAACATTGAATTATTAGCAGCTTTGAAAATTTAAGCATCTGGGAGTCATTCTGAATGCTTCCAGTAGATTCGACTCTCATGTGGTCTGTGTGGCCATGATAAGTATGTCCTTGCCTAAATTTGACAAGCTTGCAAACATACTAAATTGGCCCTTTGGAATCAGTTGACACTACAAAGTCTCCTGATAGACAACTTGTCACCTACTCGGGGCATTCGAAATCCGGTAATTAAAAACCGCTTTGTACTAGTTATGTCCTAGCGGATTACCTCGTAGCTACATCTGCCACTATCTATGCGTTCTTCGGATTAAAAATGTTGTTACAATCTGCAATCGAATTCAGACTCTATATACCCACTAAATAGAATATGCCTAGTTCTTATCAAAGGCTTATTTTGGAACTATACTTCGTAAAAAAATTATAACGATAACAAATTATAATATAATAAACAAAGCAGCTAATAACATCCTACTCATTAAAAGTCGAGCATTATATCATTAAGAAATAGCTTTCATAGCTTCAATACAATTAATGATCTGACTGACTTTTTAAATAGAAAGATGATGGTCTCTATCAACGGAATACATTTAGAAATAATAATATAAATAAGTAATATAAATAACACAGGAGTATAACTTTGATAAAACAACATTTAACTAAAATTGACATAAATTAACATAAACACCTTTAATCTCAAATATATTGCTAGTTAACGCATAGTGTATGTATACCTTTTATCAACTGGTATTTTATAATCAATTAAAACACAGAGACGAAAATTTACGAGACATTTGATTGCGTTATCTTTTTAGGTTCATCTACACATCAAAATGGTATTGACACACCTCTGTTCCGTATCAGAATTTCAAAAAGGCTACTTTATATTTAAATTCATTTTATTTTATTTCGTATAACGTTCTTTGTATAGATAACGCAAAATAAAATTTTGTTTATTTCCAATCTAACATTCTGTAATTGATAGAGTGGTTTGAAATAAAAAAAATCTTTACGCTAACCCTTTAGCTTTAGAGATATACTGAATAGGAATAGCAGCGGTTGCAGGTTCGCAATCCATTACTGTTTCTCCTCTCGAATGGGTACCCCCTGTCCCCGCCCCCCAGACAACTTAAAAACCCCCGGGCTCAGTTTCCCCGACCATATCCCCTATCCCGGTGCGCCGGTGGGTCCTCACAGAGATACCCTGCTCTAAGGAGCAAGGCAAGCAATTTCGACTCAACGAGGTATGGAAGGTTTCTATTATGATAGGTTTTTATTGTGTTATAACAAATTTGTTATAACACAAAAATCTCTCATTAGTTTCCAATTTTTTTTATTGCTTAGATGGGTGGATGAGCTCACAGCCCACCTGATGTTAAGTGGTTACTGGAGCCCATAGACATATACAACGTAAATGCGCCACCCGCCTTGAGATATAAGTTCTAAAATCTCAGTATAGTTACAACGGCTGCCCTACCCTTCAAACCGAAACGCATTACTGCTTCACTGCAGAAATAGGCAGGGTGGTGGTACCTACCCGCGCGGACTTACGAGAGGTCCTACAACCAGTAAAACAGTTTTATTAAAGTTTTGAAACGAAACGAGCACAACCTGTTTTCATTAGTTATTTTAAATTATTAAATAATTTAAGTAATCATCTTGAATAATTTTTAAATAATTCCCCACTTAGGTGAAGCTTAGTGAATGAGACTTAACATATGCACACTAAAGATAAAATAAATAATGAAAATGATAATGTTCGAGCGTTTTCGTCAATTGAACAACGTAATTGTTAAATTTTTGTTTGATTTTACTTCAAAGATCTAATTTGTTGATCACAAATAATGTTTCCGTAATTATTACTATTAATCGGCCAAGAAGAGCACAGTCCACTTGATTTTAAGCGGTTACCGGAGCCCATAGACATCTACAATGTAAATGCGCCACCCACCATGAGATATAAGTTCTAAGGTCTTAGTATAATAACAACGGCTGCCCTTCAAACCGAAACGCATTACTGCTTCACGGCAGAAATAGGTGGGGTGGTGGTACCTACCCGTGCGAACTCACAAGAGGTCCTACCACCAGTAATTACGCACATTATAATTTTGCGGGTTTGATTTTTATTACACGATGTTATTCTTTCACCGTGGAAGTCAATCGTGAACATTTGTTAAGTACGTATTTCATCAGAAAAATTGGTACCCGCCTGGGATTCGAACACCGTTGCATCGCTTTAAACGTATGCACCGGACGTCTTATTCTTTAGGCCACAACGACTTCGCAAATTTTTTTTGGTCCAAGTGAATATGTTTATTATAATAATGTATCAATGTCGTCAAACAGCTATAATATAGTTTACTAATCTAGAACAAATTAATATTTTAATCTAAATAGCTACTAATGGGATGATTCGTTAATATCAAATTCAAATTCTTCAATAATTCAAGACAACGATCCATTCATAAATTACTAAAGCGCTCAAAACCCCTGTAAGATAATAAAGTAATTTAATTGCCAGTTTTACTTAATTATAATTAAGTCACAAACTCGTTTACTATAAAACTCTGAGATTCATTTTAAGCGTGAAGACTTAATTTTTTGTGATTTTTTGTCATAATTCTTATGAACAAAGGTAAACTCTAATAGAGTCCATTGCATATTTCATGTAATGATACTTCCTCCTCCTTGCGTCGTTTTCCTCATTGCTGAGGGTCGTGAGCACCCTTTTGAATCACCTTCGCACGCACGATCTTTCTCCATTTATTCTTGTCTCTGGCGGTGTTGGGGGCGTTGTGAAACGTGGAATCAAGAGCGGTGCGGATCTGATCGAACCAACGTATTGGGCTGCGCCCCCGAGGTCTTTTCCCATCTACCTTACCAGTCACGATGTATTACACTTAAGCACCCAAAAAGTGGAATGGCTCTTTTTTGTTTCAAGCATAACTGGGCCCCGCGGACGTATATACCGCCGTTTGTATTTTCTTAAGTACCTACAGCTTGGAACGCAGAGCCTTGGGCAGATTAAACTCGTACATCTGAATTAAATCTAAACTTCTTTGGCAGATGCAACTTTAGAAGAATACCGAGGAGAGATAGCAGCGTTATTCTGACTTTAGCATGACAAGTGCCATCATTAAGCGTTGATTTTTTTATAGAAGAGACTTTTTTTTTAACGCTTGGGAATCCGCTTACGGACACACCCAGTCGACGGGGAGAAAAAAACACAATTGATTACCTGACTTCTCCAACGTAAGTAACGGAAGGTGCTTCCATAATGCCTGTGCCAATTCCAAGCAGAGCGTTCGCAATTAGCAACGAGGGTACATCCCAAGCGAAGTACATCAACAGCCACGCTATGAGATGAGGTATGTTCACCAGGACCAAAGCTTTCCTTCTCCCGAAGTAGTCCAGGATTGGACCGGAGAAAATACTCCCGAGAGGCTGGCACAGAAACGCCAAGCTACCTGTAAGAGAATAGTAGGAAAATACGTTACACAAATAGTCATGGGAGACATTTCGTCTCCTCGCATTAAAACTGTATAATTTCAAAACTTACTAATTTTATAGGAGAGTGTTTTAAAGGTTTAACGTGTAATATTTTTAATATTAATCATATCTGCAACATAATTTTTTTTATTAATTTTTTTACCAGTTACATTATCTGTCTTTTAAAGTAAGATTAAATTATGTATTAATTTTGTTAATAGTAGTTAAAACATAGGTAAACTTTAAAAAAAAAAACTTAACTACGCTCTTTTAACAGTATTTATGAGAAAAATACTGGTGATACCAAATGATTACGTATATTAACTCAATTTCAAACTTTTTGGAAATTGTACACTTTTAATGCGAAAAGGCGATTTGTACTTCAGAAATAAGCTTAATACATATAGAAATTCGATCATATTAAGTGTAGTAAATTTCACCAAACATTTTGTCTATTCTCTATCTGTCCGTATATCATTGCCATTTCATGCGGTAAGTATTGCCTAGACTAAATGTTTTAATTCATTACAGAAAATAAATTAATTAATTTAAATCTAGGTACAATCGCATCGCTCGCTACGATTACACTCGATGTCTATAAATAATACATAACAACTAATCAATTTTAATAAACTAATTGTAACTAATTGATAAATCTAATATATAAAATTCTCGTGTCACAATGTTCGTTCCCATACTCCTCCGAAACCGCTTGACCGATTTTCATGAAATTTTTTATGCATATTCAGTAAGCCTGAGAATCGGCTACTATCTATTTTTCATACCCCTAAGTGATTAGGGTTGTCCACCCCTAACATATTTTTTTTATTTGGACTTTTTTTTTTGTTATAATGAGGTATTATGTGGTTGAATGAGGTTTTGTTATTTTTATTATATATTCCCTCATCGTTCACAGCGCTACATGCCTCTCACTCATTTACCACATCCTTACACACTTACAATAAGTTAGTTTTTTCTACACTAGAAATTCCCTAGAAATCTTATATATGGCAAAAAAATGTTTGCCGGGTCAGCTAGTAATGATATATTTTCATAATTTTTAGACAGAAACCTCCCAGAATTTGTAAATTAACACAATTTCTTCCATATTAGTAAAAATATATAATACATTTTAAAAAAATCGAAAACTAGAATTAAATGAATAACATTGTTATTTGAACATTTCTTATCTAATGCTTACGTGCTGGTAATTCTAGTAAATAGTGATCTTAGGTGAAGATCTAGGTTGAAATAACATTTGTTTATGTATTATTTATTATCTGTCGTGCAAGATACTACGAAGACTAAATAAATATATCAAACTAGGTAATTCTAAACGAAACACACTGACTTTATTGTTCAAATTTTGCGTAACCCAAAAATAATTACAAATAAGTTTGTTTTTTGAAGTCTCAGGAAACCGCTTTGTTACCAAAGGAACGTTTCAGACACCACTGAGGCCCCTGTCATTGTTTTGCAACTGATATGATGATCGAATTCGAATTTGTTTATCTTAGTAACAGCTAAGAAACATATTAATAGGTCATCAAGAATTTGAATTTTGTAACACTCGGAAATAAAAATTTAAAAATAGCTTAATCAATGCTACTGATTCTTATCTAATCGCGTATAACGTAATTTATTGTATTTATTTTCAAATGTAGAAACAAAATTGAGTAAATTAAATAAAAATTAACATAATTTAGTTAGCACGTATTAAATAATGACACCATTACCGCCATTTGTATAATAAATGTATTCCCGGAAAAATTAAGATTAATTAATTCAAAGTAAACTCACAATAAAAGATTGAACCCAATACTATGAACATGAATTTTAAAATTAGTTTTGGGGTAATTAGATAATATACTTTAAATAAAAATACACAGTACATATTATAATAATGTTCATTAAAATTTAGTTGCATAGTTTTGCGCGTGTCTTATTGTCATATTTATATTGTTTTAAATAGCTAGGAACAAATCACGCACGGTCATTCAGCCTCAAATAGGATTGTATTATATTATACCATTGTATTATACCATAGTACCAACACGCACCCGTAATAGCAGTAGCAGATAATAAACACCCAGACAAAGAGCAAACAAACCTGTTCATCACACGAATTTTTGCCCGATGTGGGAATCGAACCCAAGACCCTCAACGCAAAAGTCTGGGGCGCTAACTACCGCACCAACGAGTCAGTCAGTGTTGTCGATTGTCGATGTTTCGTATACTTTACAGTTTTTGTGGTCACGCACGTCCGTGAGTGATTAAACTGTAAAAGTAATTTTAATTACGCGAAAACCGATGAAAATATTACAAACTCCTACATTTTGTTTAATATAGAAATTGGTATATTGTCTATACTAATATTATAAAGAGGAAAGATTTGTTTGTTTGTTTGTGTTGAATAGGCTCCGAAACTACTGAACCGATTTGAAAAATTCTTTCACTGTTTGGAAGCTACACTATTCCCGATCGACATAGGCTATAATCCTTATTAATTAAAAAAAAATTAGGAATCCTTACTAAAACTCCAATAATGTAACCCAAAGTGTAAAAAAATTACCTAAAATATTCTTTACATCGCGTGCCCTGCGAAAACTATTGATGATAGAATAAAATAATGTACTACGACTTTGTAGAACACATTATTATTTACAAAAAATGTAGCGACAGCATATTTCTTACTATTATAGTTATGCCGCAATAAGTGTTATTTTATTTAAAAAAATAAAACGTCAAATATCGTTGATATTTTTGTTAAAGACCCGAGCGGAGCCGGAGCGGGCCGTTTATATTTTATACTTTAGCGGTAGTTACAGTGAAGTTTGGCCATATTTTAATAGTAATTTTGAAACATTAAATATATAGTAGTTATTTACATCATTTTCGTCGGGAAAGTATATTAAAATTAGTCATTTAAGAAAGTAAGTATCTGCTCCACGAACGAATCCTGGCTTAATCGTTCGAACGTCTCACTCATAACGCCATAGACGCTCCTTAATGGCTTATGAGTTCCGGTAGCCACTTAAAATCAAGCACATATGCTTACAAAACCCTTCTGAACAATAAAAAGAAACCGTTAAAATTAAAGTTTACTCACCAAACCAAGAAGCTTGATTTTCATCCAATGATACTCCTTCCTTCGCGTAGAGTACCTCCGGTACCACCATGGTTACGAAGCTGATAGACATACCCAGGCCAATTAGCAAGAAATCTAATGCCAGACATGCTACCACCTGAAATACATTAAATATTTTTACAATCCCGTCTGACAAAACAATATGACAGTTACATTATACTAGGGACACGCCCTCGCTTCGCTTCGGAAACATGAAATTTTATTATTGATAGCTGAGTCCCGCGATCTAACCCGCGGTTATTGTCGTAACGTGTCGTGACGCCGCGAGGCGAAGCTAGTCTAAAAAAAGTAGCCTAAGTTAGTCCTTATATCATCAGCCACCTATCAATGAAAATCAAAATCGGTCCAGCCGTTCCAGAGATTAGCCGGAACAAACAGACAGACAGACGGACAGACAAAAATTGTAAAAAATGGTATTTTGGTGTATGTACTGTATATATCGATCACAAGAACTGCAATGGACATTCCGAAGAAGATATGGAGGAACAGAAGCGTCACCAAAGCCACAAAGAGCCGGCTCGTACAAACTCTTGTTTTCCCCATATTCTTATACGCTGCAGAGACGTGGATTTTGCGGCAGGTCGAGAGAAAGAAAGTTGATGCTCTGGAGATGTGGTGCTGGAGACGAATGCTTGGTATTTAATGGACCAAACTCCGCAGCAATATCTCCATTCTTCGAAAACTCGGCATTAAGCAGTGTCTTTCGGCGCTCGTGCAAAATTGCTGGTGCAAAATGATAGTATGCGCCCATGGGCGCATATTGTAATTTTTTAGACATGTCTCCCGGCCAAAAAAGCGGTTATTTCAATATTACAAACAGACACTCCAATTTTATTTATATGTATAGATATAGTAGTTGATTATCCATATTACTTTTTAATAGGTTCTTAATTAAAATTAAAAAAAATCTAATTTAAAGGAGCTAATTTCGAATTACATTAATGGAGTATAGCCAGAGAATCTCACCTAATAATTTCTTACTCTATTCTAATAATTTAAATTCTAGTAATTTCTTTGATTGCTAAAATCGATAAAAGAGCCCACGCTCCATCTGGTGTTAAGTAGTCATCGGAGCCCATACTCATTCACCATATTAAAACCTCCGCCTATCTCGAGACGCGAGTTCTAATTTCAAGCCGAATCGCATTGCTGCTTCACGGCAGAAATAGCAGGATGGTGGTATCCACCCCTGCGGGCTCACAAGACGCCTTACAACCACAATCTGCTTTCATTTAAATATTATTACTTATGTACTTAATGTCTATAATGGCACTCGAAATTTCGGCCCTCTTGGTATTGAAGGAAGTGAGAAGGAATTGCTCGAGGCAATAATTTCTAGCGCCAATCGGCATTTAATGACAGTAGGGTGTATCCTGACGCAGCAGGTGTGAAGCAGTAATGCGTTTCGGTTTGAAGGGTGGGGCAGCCCTTGTAACTATACTTGAGATCTTAGAACTTATATCTCAAGTTGGGTGGCGCATTTACGTTGTAGATGTCTATGGGTTCCATCAGGTGGGCTGTGAGCTCCTCCACCCATCTGAGCAATAAAAATAAATAAATAAAAACTTAAAATCACTCTCTCGTCCACGAAAGCGATCTTCAAAATATTTAGAAGATATAGAAACAGTATATATTAATTTTTAGATCGATTCTCGATTTAGAAATGACCTTTTGAAGCTACTCAAATATTTTGGCACGGTCGTGCTTAGCAAAAATATATGAAAAAGTTCCGGTAGTGGAGTCCCAATTACATCAAAGTTTCAGACCAAGGAAATGCGTAAACTGTATTGCACTCAAATATATCGATTCAAAGCCTGAATTCGTTGAGGTCAATGCAGTATCTATTGAAAAAAAAATTAGGTATTTTCCAAAAATGGAAGAATGGAAAATGGAATGGAATTATATCAATCGGAAAAACACTGATTATCAAAGTTTGAAATTACTTTTTACGTTACTTTATACGGGTTCCTGGTAACCCTATAACCCTGGTAACCCTGTAATTATAAACTTTGTAATTTAAAACTTAGTTTCATTATTATATTATCACAGTACTCATCTTTCTTTCATTGAAATTACAAAAATCAACAAAACTCTTTCAGATAAGTCCACATACCTACATATGTCTTGGTTTCATTCATTCTTAAACAAATTATCTCGTATCAATTTATTGACTTAAATTAACTTAATTAGTAAGAATTGATTAAAATTTTCATTCATGTATCACTCTGATTTCATAAAGCTTTAGTATCATCTAGAACATTCTGGAACATTTTCACTTATTCCAGTAGCTTCAAGGGCGGATTCACGATTCATTTTAAGGATCATTTCTCCCTACCGCCATATTTTTTTTACTGGTGGTAGGACTTCGCGTGAGTCCGCACGGGTAAGTACCACCGCCCCGCCTATTTCTGTCGTGAAGAAATAATGCGTTTCGGTTTGAAGGGTGGGGCAGCCGTTGTAACAATACTGAGACCTTAGAACTCATGTTTCAGGGTGGGTGGCAGTATTTACGTTGTAGATGTCTATGGGCTCCAGTAACCACTTAACACCAGGTGGGCTGTAAGATCGTCCACCTATATAAGCAATAAAAAAAAATCTCCCTCAAACATACCTTGCAACATCTATTTAGGAACCAGTCGAGGTAAAAAACAATCTGCAATGTATGGTTGTGGCTGGCAATAAAACTACATACCTCATTATGATGGTACGTCATTTATAAAAAGCAATAATTTTTAATGCGACATTCGTTTTACTCTTTTTCCACATACCTCAAAACAAATATTTTTCTGATCCGGTTGCATTCTATTTCTGAATGTCTTTTCGCATTCAAATGTAATGATAAAAAATATCAAAAGCAGCCCAGATTTCGAATAAATATCTAATAAATGCATTTTATATTAATATGACTATTAATTTATATTTTAAATATTTTATGATTAATATCTTTTTATTATATAATTTATGTAACAAGTTTTATGATAGTTTCAATAGTAATGATGATAGTTTATAATAGGATAACAATAGTGATGATAGATTAAATAATAGACGAGTCTTGAAGTTTCATTAACAACATAAAAATTACATTTTCGTTGATTAAGTAGTAGCTTTGTTACTCTGATTTAGATATTATTAGACCTCATGTCTGCGTGTCTCACGTTAAAGCGCTATTAACGCTAAACATACCATAACAGGTCAAATGACCCATTTTGAACTTTTGCTTTGAAAATGCACGTATTATCTTTATGCTTTTGAACATTTGACTTCATGACTTTTTCTTACCAATTAATCTACAGTTATAATACTATTTTTGGTTTTTGTTTTGTTTTGTTTATTTTGAGTAATACATGTCGTATACCGTTATCTACCCGCTGTGGTAGAAATAGGCACCAGGAAGTGTTGGTATGATTAGTGTTAATGTGTGTCAAAATATTTAAATTTGGTAATATACAGCGAATGTAAAACAAAAGTCTGTAACAATTTACTTATTTTCACTAAATTTCTTTAGTGTCTACTTTTTTGTCTACCTACTGCTAGTTAACCTCTACCTCAAGGGGTTAGGTTAGCTTCACCGAATGTGCAAGCAAGCTCACAGGACTCTGAGACCCGGGTGGACCTAGCTAACATCTGCCCTAGCAAGAGCAGTGCTACCATCGAATCGGAATCGCGACTCACTGGCAAGATCCGGCGAGAAATTTAAGTGTTAGCGTTTTTTCTGGCTACTGGCATGGATTTTGGCAGATCTGTTCGAACGCAGATAATTCGTAACTAACTCTATTGCCTTTTTATATAGTGCGGTAACAATCAATCATCATGCTGACAGATTCATATTTGTTGACAAATTATGATCAAAACATTTATATTATTAAAATGATTGTAATATTATTGTTTGGTCATTTATAACGTTAATGTCCCTATTCAAAGTTTATTGAAACAATAAATGCAAATCAATCACTTTATCTTGCACATGATATAGTTTCAATAACAACTCTTTTACCAGCCAACATATATAAAAAAAATATATATAAAAAAATCGATATATAAAAAAAAACGCATTTAAATAAGCTGCAATATCCACCATTATATCCACTGTCTTTGAGCGTGGCGGAAGCCAAAACGAGATTAATCTTTTAATTTTATTTTATATATTTTTTGGCATTTATTTTATTAATTATGTATTTATTTAAATAATTGTGTTATTAAGTTAAGTGATTCGATAGAATCCGAAGCACCGAGTTTATTCTGCTATGTATATTTATTCTGTTCAATAAAGTACTTTCGGTTACTTTATCCAATGATCAATGGTATTATTTTATTGGTCAATTAAAACTATAGACTACACCAAGGTCCAGTTCAAAGAATGTAGGTCAGATTTTGTTGAACAATGATTGCAGTGACATGAATCATCATTTTGATACATTACGATACTTGGAATATTTTTACGTTGTATCAACACAATTGACATTTCAAACTCATTCTTGTCTGGGCGTCTAAAGATTAACGTGTCAAATGATTACCAAGGTCAAAAGATATCACAAAGTTAATGACCTCGATACGTTAGTTACTAGTCTCTACTGCACTTTATAATGGCTGATCCACCTTTTTTTTTCCTAACTAAGCTGAGCCTTGAGAGGCTATTTATTTCAACCTTTAACTAGTAGGTGAGCTCACGGAGCTCAAACCTGACGATGTTGCTAACACGAACTCTAGGAAGAGCCGTGCTTCGCAGAATCTACCACAGGATCGGAAACGCGACCCACTGAGAAGTTCCGGCGAGAAACTCAGTGGGCTGTGTCTGTGGGTTAATTCACTCGCCAAGCCCTTCGTCGCTTGCGACAGGCTTGAGGAGTACGATGACGGGTGCTTGGGGTACCTAAAAGCACCGTTAGTGGATCGGGAGGATCCGAAATGAAGTGTTTTGGGCGACGTCGACTGCTTTCCATTCTGTCCGCAGGTTCGGGAATGTAGTTACCGGCGGCCACGATGAGAGGGTTCTCGTGCGTGCCGCTTCTTTAAACTAGAGAGACAGATTTGCGAAAGAAAATATGATAACGCTCGCTTCCATTATAGCTATATACAATTTAAAACATAATCTATTTTATACTATCAGCCCACAGATGTCCACTGCTGGATATAGACCTTTCCCAAGCTTCGCCAAAAAATCGGTTCCGCGCTGCTTGCATCCAGCGGATCCTCCCAAACCTCAATAGGTCATCGGTCAATCATAATCGTTTGCTATAAAATCTTAAACAGTTGAGCTACGAGGTGCGGTGAACAACAACATAGAACATCAAGAGGAAACTTAAGGCCTCACCAAATATTTTTCGATGTCGTAAATCATGACTAACTTTACGACTCCAACGTATCTTTTTGAACGGAAAAATTCCGTTTCCGTAGATGTAATTATGGCATTATAATTTAATTAGTCCAAAAAAAAAGCGTCAAACTAGTCTAAAACGATTTATGAGCCAGATGCAAATGATTTGTCAAATATATCATGTGTTGATTATGTGGGTTGCTTTTATGTATATTACTTATGTATGAGAGAGAGAGAGGTCAGTAGACGGATCCAACTCGGCTGGGCATCGTTCGGTAAACTGCACAACGTCTTCTCGTCCAAAATACCTCAGTGCCTTAAGACAAAGGCGTACAACCAATGTGTGTTACCAGTGATGACTTACGGCTCGGAGACGTGGTGCTTCACTAGGGATCTTTTTAGAAGGCTCAAAGTCGCGCAGCGAGCTATGGAGAGGGCTATGCTCGGCAATTCTTTACGTGATCGAATCCGAAATGAGGAGATCCGTAGAAGAACGAAGGTTGCTGACATAGCCCGTAGAATTAGTGAACTGAAGCGGCAATGGGCCGGCCACATAGCACGAAGAGAGGACGGTCGATGGGGCAGAAAGATCCTGGAGTGGCAACCACGTCAAGCGCAGTGTGGGACGGCCACCTACTAGATGGACCGACGACCTAGTAAAAAGCGCTGGGTCTCGTTGGATGCAGGTAGCAATGGACCGGTCGCACTGGAAATCTATTGGAGAGGCCTATGTTCAGCAGTGGACGGCGATAGGCTGAAATGATGATGATGATGACTTATGTATGTTTGATTACGTTTTATGCCTGCATTTATTCAATGAGGGAATTGGAATATTTATCCATATTTATCCATATTTATCCATTATTTACTCGGCATTGCCTTTAGTTGGCTGGCGGCGAATGCTTAAATCCGTCAACGTGTAGAAACAGTAACAAAAAGTTTAACAAAAAACTAAAATAAAAAGAAAAAGATTACAAGTATTAAAAAGTAATGGACTCTCCAATTTACACACCAGCAACAATGAACTTGAACCATGGAAATTTTATCATTATTAAAAAACTAAAATCTTAACAAAAAATAGGCTGGCCTACACAACCATTCAATTATACACACACGAACTTGTTTAATAATTGCTGGACCGTTGTTTGATGTCTTGATTTGGTCAATTTCGTAAGTGTTGCACAACGTTATGTCGACAATCGCAAAATAGTAAATTTTCGATTTTTAACTGTGCTCTTATATGAGTCGACTATTATCAAATCCGGCAATGTGACTTTTGGACAATTATTGGTAAATCAGAAAAACGAATTATTGACTTTGTATTCCATTGGCAGTCACAAAACTCTTCTGAACGACATCTTAGATAAATAACAGGTTAAGTATTAACCTTTATTTAATGCAGGCTTTGAACCGTATTCTTTGAAGAAGACGATTATATTCAAATCAATCTGTATTGACATATCAATAACATTTTTTTGTCCAAATGCACAGATTGCCACCTTTGATAATAGACGACTCATATGTCGGTCGAAATGTTTTACGAACAAAAGGAATGTTGGAATATATATTTAATTAAGAACACATTATTATACAAATTATTATGCAGGGAACACATTACATGTAATAATTAATACCTATACTTATAGCAATTGACAATCATCAACTAATTTTTTATATAATTGGAAGATTGGTAACGAATTGTTTTAAAAATTTTACGGTTCACATTCTAATGCTATCATTTTAGATTTTCTCGTAATAAGAACCATTACGAGAAAATCTAATAAGAACTATTACGAGAAAATCTAAAATGGAACCAGACCCCGTACGACAGTAGAAATTTTGCTTATTATAAAATAGTAGAGTTTAAAGTAATTTCAATATTCCAAAAAATATATATTTAGCCAGACACACAGCTTATCTGGTATTAAGTATTTACCTATAGACATCATACCGTGTTTTTAGAAAGAAGACGATCGCACGTCACCCACGATGAGTGTCTAAGTGAGCTAATGGATATCAGCATGCCAAGACCCGGCCTTGCGTCAATCTACCACACAGAAATCCTTTCGATTTCTTTCCTACACCCACCCATGTGAGATCATAATACTGCTCTATCACTAGTAGACTAGCAATCGCAGAATGCTAATATAATACTCATAAAAATTCGCCGATTCTCCGGTTCCTAGCCCACCTTAGACGCCCACGAGAAGAGATTGATGATTCTATTATAAGCGTGTACAGTTCAAGTTCAGGAGTATAGTGTTCTGACACTCGGTTTATAAAACTCGGCCGCAATTTGTTATATAGTAGAAACTAGCGACCCGCCCTCGCTTCTTTTTTTTTTTTATTGCTTAGATGGGTGGACGAGCTCACAGCCCACCTGGTGTTAAGTGGTTACTGGAGCCCATAGACATCTACAACGTAAATGCGCCACCCACCTTGAGATATAAGTTCTAAGGTCTCAGTAAAGTGAGAACGGCTACCCCACCCTTCGAACCGAAACGCATTACTGCTTCACGGCGGAAATAGGCGGGGTGGTGGTACCTACCCGTGTGGACTCCCAAGAGGTCCTCAGTCCGCTTCGCTTCGGAAACAGTAATTTATTATTGATCTCTCCACTATTTAATGGATGTTATTATACATATAAACCTTCCTCTTTAATCACTCTATCTATTAAAAAAAACCGCATCAAAATCCGTTGCGTAGTTTTAAAGATTTAAGCATACATAGGGATATAGGGACAGAGAAAGCTACTTTTTTATACTATGTAGTGATAATAAACGAAGCGTTATGAATAAAAGTAGAACATACATTTGAAGGGTAAGCATAGAAACCAAAAAAAATATCTCATACCTGTGACAGCACGACTCTGGTCCGACCGATGTTCCTTTTCTCATTATTCGCCATTTTAAAAACACAGAGTTCACTGTTTGATACGAGGCACTGACTGTTCTCAATGATCACAATAGTATGTATTACTTCAATAGATTTAATCTTTCTGAATGCATCGACTGCCTGTTCTGACTTAAAAGGATATTGTTAAACTGTTTTATTTAAAATGTCACGTTGTTGCAGCATCGTACAAATAAGTTCTAGTTTTTTGAAGTCCTCACCAATTATACACTAATGTCAAATAGTCTGGTAATGTATTCTAACATGTTACCGTCGTTAGTCAAATGATTGTCAGCAGTGAATCGAGTATTTTAAACTTTATTAAAATTAGTTAATAGCCACTATTATACTAATTAATCTATCCGAATTTCAAAATCGGCATGTATCATCATAAATGTTTCTAACATAATTTCAAACGCGGTAAAAACTATTGACTTAACAAAATGAATGAAGCCGTCAAAACGAGATTTGCAACAGTAGTTTTTAATAATCGATTATTTTGATGTATTTTTAATAGAATAATGATTTCTTCGGTTTATGTTGCTTTTATTTTGTTCAAACATATATATTTTTTTATATTTAAAATTAATGGTGATTTCTTTTTTTTTTTATTTCCCAGATTAACTGAATCTGGGAAGGAGAATAAAAAAATAAAAAAAAGTTTGCAATAAAAAAAAGTTGCCGTATTAATTTATCGCTGCGTCAATGCCCTATATATTCGTATTGAATATTATGGCTGAGCTCAAATCCTGAAGGTTCAAGGCCAGCGCATTTTGTCCGAGCTCTTGGATTTGAGAACATTATCCACGTTAACGGAAACACAAACGATTGTATGGTTAAGACCTTCGATCAATAATAATACCTAGATTAAGGATCAGGAACAGAAATAAGACGCTCGAGTGGCCACGTTTGCAGACACGAAAACATCTTCATTTCTTAGAAAAAAGTTTAATAATGTTAACCACTTCAGCTTATTATAAACCTTAATGCTTAAACATAAAGTTTAATTACCATTGCGAAATATATTTATTTAGGTCTTTTCGTCAGAGAAAGGATATTACGGAATAAATTTAAAATGTCGCTTGAAAATAAAAATTCATCATGAAATATTCATTCTAAAATGGATACATAAGTTAAAAGGTTAAAAACACTTTTTTTACAATTTCGTGCTTATTATATTGTGGAACTACTAGATGTAATTCTTAGTATTACATTTCAATGCTCAGAACACAGTAAGTATTGAAAGAAGTAGAGTTGCAGAATATCGTCGGCTTATTGCAAGAAGTCATTATGTGACATATTCATTATTTTGGGAAAACGGCATTTTAGTTGGAATTAGTTAGTGGTTATGTTGATTAGCCCATATTATCCTTAATACATGATTAAAGTGAGAAAAATTGAATGTTTTGGATTTGCTTAATATGTATATTAATTAAAACAAGTGAGAGTCGGTAGTCATATAACATTATATATTATTTATAAACCAAAACTAAAAGTGAATGACTTCTTGCTACTGTAAGTCGGTTTGATATGTGAATTAATTATTTCTTAAATTAAAATAAAACAACCAAATTCTTATCAAACCGAACTGAAATAAACAAAAATGAATAATAACATAACAATTCAAAACAATTCTTTCTCAATTCTCAAAAGTTTTTCATAAATTTTTTTTTATTTTAATGCTCAGATGGTTGTACGAGCTCACAGCCCACCTGTTGTTAAGTGGTTACTAGAGCCCATGGACGTAAATGCGCCACCCACCTTGAGATATAAGTTCTAAGGTATCAGTATGGTTACAACCGCTGCCTCACCCTTCAAGCCGAAACGCATTACTGCTTCACGGCAGAAATAGGCGGGAATAGACCCGTGCGGACTCACATGAGGTCCTACCACCAGTGATTACGCAAATTATAATTTTGCGGGTTTGGTTTTTATTACACGATGTTATTCCTTCACCGTGGAACTCAATCGTGAACATTTGTTGAGTACGTATTTCAATAGAAAATTGGTACCCGCCAGCGGGATTCGAGCACCGGTGCATCGCCAGATACGAATGCACCGGACGTCTTATCCTTTAGGCCACGACGACTTCATAAACTAAAATAATAATAAACTAAAAAAAAAAATCTTCTCCCTGTTAGTCAATCAATCATATATATTTTTAATGAAAATTAGGAACTGAGCTTAAACACCACACAAAAACATAAAAAAATAAGAAAAATCTAGGTTAAAAAAAATTGTATCAGAGGTTTCTTCTTCAGGAAGATAATTTGGACCTGCTTTATCAGGTATATTATTATACCAATGGTGTAGCTCTGCAGGCTAGGTCTTTAAAATTGGAAACAGATATACTGGATACCTATATTGAATAATGTTAGGCCGGTTTTTCCAAACTTGAAGCATTTAACCTTCAACCACTGTAGCTTCTGTCCTACCGAGTCACTTGACTTATTAAAAATTAATTTGTTTCTCAATTCTTTTAGCTCCAAGTTATCAGAGTGGCTCATTACAATAGGTTCATACGGCTTCTTTGCTGTTTTTTTCTTGTTTAGCTTTCTGTTCGATTTAGCCAATCTTAAAACATCACAGAGGTCTATCATAGAAAAAATTGGCATAAAACGCATTTGATTCTCGATAGCACTATGCATACTATCGACCTCCATATGTGTGTGGCCCAATTCTAAATACTTATGTTCAATCACCTCAAGGTGGGTAACTTAAACTAAGTATAGAGTTAAGCATAACAGAAACTGATTACGCTTTTGCATCAGCTCGCTGAGTTTCTCGCCGGATCTTCTCAGCGGGTCGCGATTCCGATCCGGTAGTAGATTCATTCGCGAAGCAACTGCTCTTGAGTTGTTAGGTCTTCGTTGTTAGGCGTGTTAGGCGCTCGGACAGCTGTTCGCAAATCCCACCCCTCCTGACTGAGCCTTTGCTAGCTCACATGTCCTGGTGAAACTGGAAAGACCTTCGGGCCACCAGTAATCCTTCAATCCTAAAAAAATATAAAAAAGCCTGTCTGGTGTTAAAGTGATTACTGCAGCACATAGAGATCTCAACGTGAATGCCACCACCCATCTTGAGATCCGAAATCTAAATCTAAATTGTTCCGTATAACGGCTGCTCTACGCTTCAAACCAAACCGCACGGCTGCTTCGCTTCGATGATGGTACCAACTCGTACGGGCTTGCCATAAGCCATACCAACCTTCCTATCAGTAAATACAAGTTCGCAATCGTAGTTCACTGGTATGATTCTCAGAGATGTTGCCCGTTCTCCAGTGTATCATTTAACGTATTTTACACCCGTGGAAATAATGATGCTATTGTAGGTCAGGTGTTTGCTTGCTAGGTTGTGCGAAGGTTGTTCGGAATTTCAATTGCTCCAACATTTGCTTTCTCGTCCTTGTTTGAAATATTGATTTCGTAACATTTTGTCAGAAATCATTAACTTCTGTAACAGGCGTGGTAATCAACGTATCTCGAAGCAAGCTGACCGAGCGAAGCAGTACTCTTTCGTGCCGCGCAAACCCACCCTCACCCGGGTTCGTCGGGTTCGTCCTATGCCCCGTGTTCCCTAGACAAGCTGTTTTGTCGCATTTCACCAAACCCTATATAACTCAATAAACTACAATCGAGGAACCACATAGCCTGCAAGAAATTACTATGTTATTTTAACCGATGTTAACTTATTAAAATCATGCCATTAACAAAATGAAAAAATAATGAAAAAAAAAAAAATGATTTTATGGAAATCTTAATATTATGATTTATATTATATTAATATCGATAAAAATTTATCGAAATTAAAGATTACTTATTGTGCATTTGTGCTGATATGATTCATTACAAAAACTAATTAAATGTAAATAATGAATTTTATCGAAATACAATTTTAAGCTATATTATACTATATTTGTTTTGATAAAATTAATTTCATGCTGAAAATGTGTTCTGTAATCTAATGTATGCTGTTTTCCAATAATGATCCATTTAATAAAATTAACTAGTGCTGCTTAGTGAATCTTTGTAAACGCCTGACTTCCAAAGTTGCAATGATCAATTTTCTGCCAAAGACGTAACGACCAAAATTGGCCAGCTAGAAATTAATGTGTTTTTGCATTTTTAGAGTATACAAAAATGAGCCCATTATAGATAAAAACGTATGTAGTGATTTTTTGCAGTTAATGAGCAATAAGCCGACGATATATTTGTTTTAGGTTTGTTTTGTATGGTGGCAACTATTTTTGACCGATTCAAAAAAGTAGTAGGTAATATTTTTTTACATTGCCGCTATTGCGACAAATAGGTAATAAAAAATAAAATTTAATAAAGTAAAAAAAAATTAAATGAAATAAGAAACAGTTTTCCACGTATTCTTTATACAGAAGCAATTAAAACAGTAATGTAGGTTTAATTACCTTTAAACAGATTCAGCTTGTTATAAAGCTGTCTTTTAGAAGTCATTTTTATATGAGCGGTTTCTTTTTTACAAATATAATGTAATCTTACATCAATGAATTTTTCTATAATCAGCTTAATTAGGCTTATTTTATGGCTATGTTCGTTTCCCCCAGAAAACAAATCCTTTTCAACCTAAGCGCCTAAAATATAAAGTACACATATAAATTTTTTATCATACTTTTTTTGTATTGATTTGCCATCACCATTGAAGGATTATTCTATAATTTTTAGAAGGGTTTTATTATATTTTTCTTCTCTTTCTTTCGCGACAATATATTATTATATCCATTCTGCACAGCCAAAAAAAAGGTTACTAGGAAATCTACAAACAAAAACAACGTTATAAAATAACAACACTACCCCATGCATTCCCTGTTCAAGAATAGGTGAGGTTTGATGCAATAGTTCTATTATTGGTCGAAGGTTAACACTTAAGAAAGAAGTCGTCAGGCAACATAGTTGAAACTGCGACTCAGGGTAGATGTCGATTAATGTTAGGTATTTTACGAATAAATAGAATAATTAACTAATAAAAGCCAGTTATGCCAACACTAATATTAATAGAAGATAACAATTGTAGAGTTTGTAGTTCATGTGCGTCATACCTCAATAAAAAAATTATGTAGAATAAATAATGTCTTATTTATTTATGTTATCATTAAATTAATATACCCAAAGTTAAATTTTTACGAATGAAGTTGTCGTTCTTTATCAAAAACAACAAAAGCTTCAGAGTGACTCTACGAAATACATGCCGTGACTTAAGCTCATTTTATTACAGTTCATTCTAAATTCGAATTATTAATTTAACATTTCTTTGTTTTTTTACGTGCCTAAATATTTGTGACGTACAAAAAAAATCAATAATAAAAACATGTTTATTTGAAAAGAATCGCTAAATATATGAAAATAAAATCTACATCGTTAAAGCCTCTTTCATTAGGCATTAATAGGGGAAGAAAATGTCATTGCACTGACAGTTAAAATAATGGAGTGTGCTTGCTATTAAAAATTTCACATTAAACTGAAGGAACATACATTTTAAGAACCAACTTTAAACTCTGTTTGTAATCAAATAAAAAAAATGGTATTACCTAAGTCTTTTCATTATTAACTGCACGTGAAATCACCAGCGTTACATTTGACATTTGAATGAAACACTTTGCAAGCGTTAAATTTGACATTTGAATGAAACACTTTGCATTTTCCCGAAACAAGATGGAACCAGTCCTATAGCAACGCTTTTGGCAGCTTTTCGGGTTAAAGATATTCTTTATTCTCAAAAGAATTACATAAATTCACTTAAATGAGAACATTAAAATAGTTATAATTAATTCAGATCGTGCAGTACATGACAATAATTTATAGTAACAACATGCGGTGCTATGACAATTATTTAACAAAAACCATAAAGATTATTTTCTTCAAATGTATAAACAGGGTAGATTACCACAGAAGCGAGGTAAGTACGCCTCAACCAGCCGCCGGCCGCTCAGTGGCGGGTAGATATTGGCGCCACAAGGAGCTAGTTCGCATGGATGCGGCATTGGTATGTTTGGATGCGGCTTTTACTATGCGTATACGTCGTTTTTATGTAAGCAACCATAGGTGAGAAATCTGAATATGGTAATCTATTTTTATTCAGCGCCTACGTAGAAACTATACCAAATTTAAAGCATCTAAGACGGATAGCTTCGGTGACGAATTAGTAATATTTTCCTTTTTAAATACATAGAAAATCATATAACTAGTCAGGTCATAAGTATTGTCACACAGTAAAAACTTTTCTTTTAGAATGCTGGCCACAAAAAAGTTTATTGAATTCGAATTTCGAATTGTTCATGAAAATAAAAATGTATATTTTTAGAATTTTACTCATTTTTAAATATGGAGTGGACGCTTAAAGAAGACCGTGTTGCAGTTATTGCGTTGCATCGTTGCGGTTACGCGCCAATTCAAATTTTTAACATACTGAAAAATTTGAATTTAACCAAAAGATTCGTTTATCGTACCATCAAACGATACAATGAAGACTAGTGTAGATGACAGGTCAAGAAGTGGTCGCCCTCGGTCTGTTAGGACTCCAGCAGTGATAAAAGCTGTGAAGGCGCGAATTCAAAGAAATCCCAAACGTAAGCAGAAACTGTTGACCCTTCAGATGGGGTTAAGCAGAACCACGGTGAAAAGGGTGTTAAATGAAGACTTAGGGCTTCGGGCATATCGAAGAAAAACAGGACANACCTAAACCTAACCTAAACCTAACCTAAACCTAACCTAAACCTAACCTAAAACTAACCTAAACCTAACCTAAACCTAACCTAAACCTAACCTAAACCTAACCTAAACCTAAACTAAACCTAACCTAAACCTAACCTAAACCTAACCTAAACCTAACCTAAACCTAACCTAAACCTAACCTAAACCTAACCTAAACCTAACCTAAACCTAACCTAAACCTAACCTAAACCTACTGATCCTACTGATCCTACTGATCCTACTGATCTGCCTTACTACCTTTCTTGGATCAATCTACCCGATTCTTGGATCAATCTACCGGATTTTATTATTGTTACTCCTTTACAACATTAGACCCGACCAGTGGCTTTCATCAACTGCCCATTCACTATATTTCGATTGAGAAGACAGCGTCCACAATTCGTGAAGGTAAGTATGACTACGTATCAATATATTTTGCCTTTTGTTACGCACCTCCAGAAATCAACGGGCTGGTACTAAGGTGTTAGGCGTTGTTGTCAATTTCTATGTTTCCATTGCATTCCATTATTTATGTGGATGACATTCCTGTACTGTGAATTCGTAGAACGAATGAGCAGTTTTTCAATTTTACCACTTATTAGATTGGTGCGGTGCGACACATCGGAAGGAAGAAAAAAGGTGTCGACTAAATCCTTTTGTCATTCATCTACCGGCGTTCAAGCCTTAGCTAAATGAGAACTCATCTGAGGCGCCAGGTGTAAAACGACGTGGTTTACGCTGATCGCACATCTTCCCGTTTACCTGCGCCCAGTAGACGCCAAGCCCCTCGGACAGCAGATTGTCCTAGCCAGCCTAGATGGTGCCACAAACTGTACCCTCAAAATACCACGTGGACTAAAACTCTCATGGTTAAGAGAGTCCACTCATCTGTCACACGATTATTCTTTCGCAAGACGAGTGTGGTGCAGGTTGCATGTCATCTTCTTGCGCCTCCCTAAGCTAAGCTGGCATACGAAGGTGAGTCATAACACTTAACGGATCAGGTTCCTTAGTTAAGGTTCCGAAGTTCCTATGCCGAGCACAGGGTCGGCGGTGACGGGGTGGTGTGAAGAGAGAACAGCGCTTTCTCTCACATCACTCAGTCTCAGTCGCTTGCTTCTGCAATGTCGCTCGCAGAAGTTGAGCATCGCCCGTTACAACTTCGCAGAAGTTGAGCATCGCCCGTTACAACTTCGGTATCTTTTTGTGTGACGAGGACACAACGCTACTCCTCTCCAGGAACCATTAAGCCTTTATATAGTTTAGATTATTTTTATTTGGTGTTGTATGCTTCTATTTCTACATAATATGTATGTGGAAAATAAAACCCTTCAAGTGTATGTGGTTTAACATTTTTTTTAACAAATAATTTCACAGTATTTTATACCAATGAGTGTTACAGTACACGGTAAATATTAATATATTTCGTTGTGGAGTCCAGGTCAGTCACTGAAGAGAGTGAAGTGAGTGAGAGCGGAGTAGGGCGGAGGGCTAGAGCCGTAGATAGTGTCGCGGCGTGTAGAGGCGCGTCAGGTCGCGCTCGCTCATGGTCGGCGCGCGCGGCTTCAGCTCCGGGATGATGGCGCACCCCAAAACCGACAGGCCTTTACTTGCCCTGAATAAACACGCACACTGATTTTATATTTATTTTATTTATTAGATTTCAACATGTTATACATCAGTTTAATATATTGCAAGTAGTGCTATCATACATACACTAATCTCACACTAATGGCTAATACAACTACAGACAGCGTGCACAGTGAAACAAGTGGCTTATTTTTAGATTCTATATAAACAGGTTCATGGAGTAGATACGATTAAGGTTAGGTAGGTATCTCGTCTAAAACTTTCAACAGTGCTAGACAAAACGTCCAAATAACACTTGCTGTGCAAATTATTTAGACTGTGGAGAGGTGCTTATTTACCGACGTTGCGTTGGTTTGTACCTAGGACCCCTGAATATCCTGAAGGTTGAAGTGCTTGTCGATATCAACGGCAAATTGAAATTCAGAACAAAGAACAATATGGGGACATCATATTCTCCATTAGCAAGTTTTTGCAATAGATCGAGCGTGCGTGTCCGCTTCGAAGAATGACTTGTGTGAAACCTCGCCGGTAGCTCTAGTAGTTCTAGTAACTGTGCAATAGGAAGCAAGGTTCTATTGCACCCTTTCCAACTTATTTTTATACAGGTCATAAACATAATTCCAAGTAACACTAGTACTTCATGTTGATGTTGCTGCAAACGTAAGAATTAATTTTAAGGTATTTTTATGTTATCCGTCTACTAAAGCCCCTGCTGTTCCGCAATAAAAAAAAACCAAATGACTGAGAAGAGCCTTCGAGCAGATTTTATCAATATGGACTTTTGCAGTACAGCAATAGAAGTAGGTCGGTAGTTTAGGATAAGATCGTTCTGACCGTTCTTATGCAAAGAAACAACGATCGATGTTAACGATCTGTCGTGCTTGAGACGCACGGTACGTACTGTGAGCACGCGTCGCCGCCTCGCCGCGCCGGGCCGCATCTAGATACAAAATGTGGGAACGCCATCCGACCCAACTCGCTTACTCTGATCAAATATTTTTAGGGTTTAGTTAGATAATCGTTAATTAGTTTAGCTTAGTAATTAATTTGCGATACGGGGGAGCAGGATTAAGCGGAATGAAGGATTGTTATTGTGTACGGAACAGGAATTGGGAATATCTTAAATAAGAGGCTTTTTTCTGTTTTTGCGAAAGGAAAGAAGAAGCTCTTGATGAAAGACCAAGATAAGTCGGGGTTAAAGCGTAAGCTTGATCGAGACGAGCACCGTAGTCTGTGTAGCATGTAACCACAAGTTGAGGAGGCGCTTTTGGGCCAACTCTAAAAAAACAATTTCTCCCAAAGGCCTTTTAAAAAATTTCATTTGCACAATTCAGATTTTTGTCAAGTTCCATTCTGAGGTAGCTCCCGATACAGCCTGCCCAACACTATTAAATAAAATAATAAGTTGTTCGCTCACGCCCAGCGAGGGCGGCGGTCTAGCACGAACAGTAAACATTCTACATATAAACAAACAGAGATATACCGTAGTCCGGTGCGTGGCCGTGCGTGGCCGTGCGTAGCGGTCCCATAGTATCACAGAGAAGAAGATATATTTGACAGATGACTGAATCTCGCTAGGGACATTTTCAAGATAAGTTTGCACATTTGGAAATCCCGAACAATAATAACATTGGAGTGTCGGTCTACCGAGCAACTTTAACCGTTTAATGAATGATCTTCCTATTGTCATTATCCCTAAAGATCGAATCCCTACAGTTGACAACATTTAGATTTTTGATTGACTCAAAATAAGAATACCTTAAACATAGATATGTTCAGAATATGTGTGTCGTGGTAAGCTCGTGTGAGAGGCTCGTGCTGCAAACATTTTTTGGCTGGATTGTTCAGCTGTGTCGTGTCAAGCTTGTACTGCGCCACTACGATCTATTGTGACCAATTTATTTGAGACATTTTTTTATTTATTGCAAAAAGATAAAGACAGGAGTCCAGCTCCACTGGTGAATGTGTTGGTGAGTACCTTATGGGCGCAGGCTGTTCGTCGGGCAGCCAGCAGTGCAGGGAGTAGCCCCGTCGCGTCTGAAACAACCGCCTTCTGAGTGTCAGTACTGCAGTCAGTGCCGCCGCGCGCACGACCACAGCCCCCAGCCCCGACTAACGATTACCTTGACGGAACTCTTCACTTTGCTGCGGGACGACCTGTATGTCTCCAGGTCCGGGAGCGGGTCAATCGATTTTCTCATACTCTTTGAAGTAAGAATTGAAGAATCTGTATCAAAAAAAGATAATTAAATACACAAACCTTTCAGCGCAAAACTGAATTTTGGAACATCTTTTTTTTATAGCTTAAATTGGTGGAGCAACTTACGGCCCACCTGGTGTTAAGTGGTAACCGGAGCCCATAGACATCTACAACGTAAATGCCACCTACCACGCCACGCCACTCACCTCGAGACATGAGTTGTAAGGTCTCAGCTTTAACAGTACAACGACTGCCCCACCCTTCAAACCGAAACGCATTACTGCTTCACGGCAGCAATAGGTGGAGTTGTGGTACCTAACCGTGCGGACTCACAAGACGTCATACCTCAAAGTATGCGGGGGCATTTACGTCGTAAATGTCTATAAGCTCTGGTACCCCCTCAACACCATGTGGACCGTAAGCTCGTCCACCCATCTAAGCATAAAAAAAACGCTATCTTTTTGAAAGTGGATTCAACTTTTTGGTGGCAATAGTGAGGAGTGAGGAGGAGACGCATGCGACCGTTATACCCACCTCGAGCCTCTTTCTTCATGGTGAGCGTTAGTTTAGTATCGTTGTGAGAGAGGCGGCGGCGCGCTGGCGGGGGCAGGGTCGCGGCGGAGACGGGGGTGGGGCTGCAGACGCGCTCAGTAGCCGCTGAGCACGCACAGCTCACACGTGTTCGACAAGAGCATCTCTTCGACATAAATATATATTTTTCTTTATTTAAAACATGTCTGTGTATGGTGTATACAGTGTATAGTAAACTAAATAAACGATCCGAAGAAAAAATAAGTTATTAGTTTAATATGAGCCATCATGTAACTACCACGTTGGCTATTAAAACATTAATAACATTGAGTAACATCAACAAATTATTATTATTATAAGTAATTGACAAATTACTGCATTGCTAGAAATAGACACTGCGGCGTTTCATTGCGTATATTATGGTTTTATTACTACTTACTAAGCTAATGAAACTAGAGTGGCGTATCATTGCGTATGTTTCGGTTTTATTTCTTCTTACTAAGCTAATGAATCCAGAGCGGTGTATCATTGCGAATATTTCGGTTCCATTACTACTTACTAACCTAATGAATCCAGAGCGGCGTATCATTGCGTATATTTCGGTTTCATTACTACTTACTAAGCTAATGAAACTGGAGTGATGTATCATTGCGTATATTTCGATTTCATTACTACACAATAAGCTAATGAATACAAAGCGGCGTATCATTGCCTATATTTCGATTTCATTACTACTTACTAAGCTAGTGAATTCAGAGCGACGTATCATAGCGTATATTTCGCTTCCATTACTACTTACTAACCTAATGAATCCAGAGCGGCGTATCATGGCGTATATTTCGGTTTCATTACTACTTACTAAACTAATGAAACTGGAGTGATGTATCATTGCGTATATTTCGATTTCATTACTACACAATAAGCTAATGAATACAGAGCGGCGTATCATTGCCTATATTTCGATTTCATTACTACTTACTAAGCTAGTGAATTCAGAGCGACGTATCATTGCGTATATTTTGGTTTCATTACTACTTACAAGCCTAATGAATCCAGAGCGGCGTATCATGGCGTATATTTCGGTTTCATTACTACTTACTAAACTAATGAAACTGGAGTGATGTATCATTGCGTATATTTCGATTTCATTACTACACAATAAGCTAATGAATACAGAGCGGCGTATCATTGCTTATATTTCGATTTCATTACTACTTACTAAGCTAGTGAATTCAGAGCGACGTATCATTGCGTATATTTCGGTTTCATTACTACATACTAAGCTAATGAATACAGAGTTGTGTATCATTGCCTATATTTCGGTTTCATTAATACATACTAAGATAATGAAACTGGAGTGATGTATCATTGCGTATATGTCGATTTCATTACTACACAATAAGCTAATGAATACAGAGTTGTGTATCATTGCCTATATTTCGGTTTCATTAATACATACTAAGATAATGAATACGGAGCGGCGTATCATTGCGTATATTTCGGTTTCATTACTACATACTAAGCTAATGAATACAGAGTTGTGTATCATGGCGTATATTTCGGTTTCATTACTACTTACTAAACTAATGAAACTGGAGTGATGTATCATTGCGTATATGTCGATTTCATTACTACACAATAAGCTAATGAATACAGAGTTGTGTATCATTGCCTATATTTCGGTTTCATTACTACATACTAAGATAATGAATACGAAGCGGCGTATCATTGCGTATATTTCGGTTTCATTACTACATACTAAGCTAATGAATCCAGAGCGGCGTATCATTGCGTATATTTCGGTTTCATTATTACATACTAAGCTAATGAATATAGAGCGGCGTGTCATTGCCTATATTTCGGTTTCATAACTACTTAGTAAGCTGATGGATTTAGAGCGGGAATGGCGTATTTTTTAGAAAACTACAAAAAACTGCGGTAAATTCGACATTCAATTATTTTATTGTGGTCATCAGTAACGATGAAATGAAAGCAGGAGTAAATAGAATAATCAGTAGGAGTGACCTGGTAAGGCGGTTGGGTTGGATGAGTCTGATGCGGTTGTGGGAAGCGGAGGCGCATCTCCACGTCGGCGGGCAGCGCACCTGGACACGAGCCCGCCACCGTCACTGACCACCCGCCTGCGACCACCACACGCCGCCTTCAAACACACACTCATCGACACAGCGCACCCGATAAATAGCTTCTATACCACACGAGCCCTTATTGAGTCGCTTACAAAATAATTTAAATATTTTCTAAACGATGCGTTCAATACCAAAAAATGATAAAGTTGCGATCGGTCAGTTGAAGGTGAAGTTGATGGGTGGACTGTCAGCGAGGGTACCTGAGTCTCGGTGCGACATCGCGTGGCTCCGTCGTCGTCTGTGCGTCCTCCGCCAGCGCGAGCACAGCAGCCCGCCGTCTCGTTCAGAGCCCTCACTTGAACTCTCGACCTCGCCTTCGGATCCCGGTGCAAGCTCTGTCCCCAGACTAGACTCCCCTTCACTTTTTCTCGGATGCTGGTCGAAAGGTTTTTTTTCTTGTACATTAGTAATGGGTTTTGTTGCTTCCTCGACATGATTCTTAAGATCCGAGTGGACAGGCTTATGTCGTTCACCTAGCTTACTGAAGATTGTCTTCTTCTCAGTTTTTGTTTTATTATCACGTTTGGGCGTCGGGTTTGCGCCTACCACCGGCTCCGCTCGGGTCCCCTTGTCCATGCTATTTCGGACACCTTAATGTTTGAAATAAAAATAAAACCAATGAATGTAATTATAATTTTATTACATTTACATAAACAGATTGAACGTCTAGCGTGATTTGTGAACAAGAATCAAAATCGTACCGTGCCATAAATGTAATTCAAGATGCTCTCGTAAAACTTTACTATTACATACAGCTGTTGAAGCTTTAAACGAGAAGTTGTCACTGGGCTTACAATCACGTTGTCGTGTAAACGGTTAGTGTCGAAGGAGACGAGGTACAGCCACTACTCTACGGGGACTGAGGAAGCGGTGCGGTGCCGGAGCAGGGGAGGTGCGCATGTGAGACGGGTACCTTCTTCGCGACGACTTATTGGTGCCCAGACGCGCGCTCTCCGTGGTCTGTCCCCGCCTTTCACTCTTAGGGGTGCCGCGACCCCCACACTCCCTGCCCCGAGAGGCGACGTGGCCACCGATCTCGTGCGGGGTGCAGGTGAGGGGTGAGGGGCCGCGACGGATGAGGTCGTGGATACACGCTCCACCTCTGGTGACGAGTCCACGCTAAGACTGCTGCGCTCCTCAGGGATGATGTCGAAAACTCGATGAAATCTTAAAGAATCGGAGCGCGGCCTACTGTCCATCGAAGGTGGGAAAAAAACTCGTCGCGAAGTCGGAGGGTCCACACCAACTGTTCTCAGATCTCCATCGCTCGCACGACGCCGCCGGCCCCCGCTGAGTGGGTCTTCTGTATGTGCATCCTGTGGAGACGCCGGCGAGTTGTCTGCGCTGTTGGATATACGTCGCGGTTCGGATGGATATGAGCGCTGATGCCTTTCGGGTACTGGTACCGGGATGCGGGATCTCCGTCCGCCGCGAGTCGCACCCCCGGGGCTGTCATCAGATACGACTGTGTCGGGATTGCTCTGTGTGTCATTCATATACTCAACTATTTCTAGTATTTCGATACATTTGTTGCCTTCGAGGATCTCAGACTTTTGGTAGATGCGTCTTGGAGCAGCGTCGACGAGGTTTAGAGCTGGGCGCGTCATTAGCGATAATTTCCCGTGAACTTTGTGTTTCTCTTCTGTCTGTCGACTGTCCCCGACGACACCTACTCTATTCGGACTTACTTTCGCTGCAGCACTTAGTGTTGGGTCTGAAGATCGCAAATTCTTCTTGCGATTCTTCTTAGATGAATTTTCCTCACATTTTGTGGGCGCACGGCGTTCGGATTTTCTTTTGATGCGTGCACATTTAAATTCTTCTTTTGCAATTTTTGCAATCACTTCATCGATAAGAGAATTAATGATCGCAACGCATTCTCTTTCAATCTCCCTTTTAGTTTTGGAGGGTTCGTCTTTCTGTTGGTTGTCCGCGTCAATTCGCAACTGCTTCCCTCTGCTGCGTCTCGCGCACTCCGCCCGGAGCTGCCTGCGTCGGTGACGACGGAACAATCTCTCTCTTATCTTCTCGGGCATGCGGTCGGCCACGTTAAAGTTTTCTTTGTCACATTCACAATTGTCATCTTTGATTCTTATAAAAAATGATTCAGGCTTATCGTTACGTTCGTCCCGAGTGCTCTCTGGCAAGAGGTCTAGGACGTCGAGGGCGGACCGCACAAGCTCACTCTTCCGGTTGTTGAAGGATCTTCGCAATAAAACAGACCGCGGCGAGTTGGGGTCGTCGAGGCTGTCGACAAGACTCGTACAATCCGAACCGATGAGATCGGCTTCTTCGGATGAAGAGGTGTTCACCTCCATCGAATCACTGTGGGGTAGCGCTGAGAAGCGCGGTACCACTAGGGCTCCCTCGCTTGTTTCAAAATAGCTGCCGGTTCCGACTCCGCTTAACACTTGTAGCTCGGAGTGCTGCTGATGACTGTTACTCGAGTCAGCCACCTCGACGGTGGGTACGTCGTTCTCATCCAAGAAGACGTCTACGTTAGAGATTTCAATGTGTGATATACCGGACGTGACGTTGTCTGGACAGCTGAGGCCGGCGCCGAGACTCTGAAGTTCTTCTTTGAACAATTTTTGAATCTGTTGCAAAACCGTTTTGTTAACATTATCGTGCTGTAAGAGCTCCCCGAATGTCTCGTCGTGATACCGTCGACAAGGGGACGAGGGGGCAGGTGTAGTGGCGGCCGAGGCAGCTCGGTTGTTGTTTCGTTCGTCATCAAAGGAGGTATCATCCCGGATGCGGGGGGAGCCGCGCAAGTTATTGCAGGCGTCACGCTCAGCGCCGTCGCACAGCTCCTCGTTACCAAATATTATTTGATGATTGGAGGTCGGGCTCAGGTGAACTATGGTGTTCACTCCGGTACTGTGCAGTCTCACTTTTATTTCTTTCTCAACGATACTGATCTTTCCGTCGCCTTCTACTGAACCCGTGACGCACTCCAGGCGATCTGACAGAGAGTTCAAGCTCTCCACCAGAACATCTGAGACGTAACGGTCGATGTCGAGGCGAGTGGTAGGTTGAGATCTTGGGGCGGCGGGGCGCAGACAGGGAACGACCTTCGGTTCCGAGGTCTCCGTCACAACTATTTCCAGCACTTCGGATAGTGATGGTGCCTCTGAATCTACTAATGTATTACTCGATAACAGTAAAGCGTTTTCGATGTGCATAGGTGGCGTCCCGCGCGCGTCGGCAGCGGGAGAAACAACACACATCTCGGTGTTCTGTCCCGTACTGAGGCTCGTCGAAATAGATGACGGTATCCTCGGCGCTGACTCGCTGCTCGGGGGCAGCCCTGAAGCCGATTCGATCTCTGCCGTGACGGTCTCGTCCAGCAAAGAGGGTGCCTGATCTTCGGAGCGCCAAGCATCTGTATCGGTCACAGTGTCGACGCAGGAAGAAATTCCCCTCGCCTCGTGCGAGCGGTATGTGGAAGCGGAGAGGACGGGGTCGCGGCGCGGTCGCAGCTCGGCGTGGGATCCGTCCAGGGAGCGCGAGGGTCGCGCCGACAGCTGGTCGCAGCAGCAGCGGCAGCAGGCTGGAGGCGCGCGGCCCCACATCCGCCTCAGGAGAGCAGACTTGCGCATGAGCTCGCGGTCGCGGGCCGGGTGGGGCGTGGCGCAGGCGGAGGACACACCTCGTCCCGCGCCGGAGCCCGACCCCGCGGAGCCCGCCGTGCTCTCTTCACATTCGGTCCGCTGCTGTACCACTCGATACCTGAAATTTTTTACATTTCAACAATGAGTGACAATATTTATAAAGAAATGTAAACGAATTACAATTCAGAAAAAAAAACGGTAGGCAAGTACCTACAGGGTCCTGTAAGTGCTGTGAGCTGCCCCGCGTGCCGATAAATACTGTCACTTGTGGAGAGTGCTTAACGGTAGCCAGCGGCTTGGTTCTGCTCCTGGCATTGCTGAAGTCTATGGGCGACTGTAACCATTCACCATCAGGTGGGCCGTATACTCGCCTGCCAACAATATTACTTTCATGTCAGTTTTGCGATACCGAGAGAGATATAAAAAATAATGCACACAATTACTATACTCGTTGTCTAAGAAAATATTTCCTTTATATAAGCTTCTTAATTTTCTTTTTATCATTTAGGTGGGTGTACGAGCTCACAGCCCACCTGGTGTGAAGTGGTTACTGGAGGCTATAGACATCTACAATGTAAATGCCGCCCACCCACCATGAGATATGAGTTCTAAGGTCTCAAGTATAGTTACAACGGCTGCCCCACCCTTCAAACCGAAACGCATTACTGCTTCACGGCAGAAATAGGCCATGACGACTTAATTATATGGCCACCACCGTTAGTAATGTATAATTAGCAAAGACGACACGTAAGTAGTGAGTACGCTGTTGTAGGCTGTCGATGCAAGGCGTACCTCCTCATGATGGTTTCGGGCACGGAGTACCGTCGCCGCAGCAGGCCGGGGGACGCGTCGCGGGACAGCATGGCGCCGGCGGGGGCGGGGGCGGCGGGGGAGCGGGCTCGGCTCGGGCGCGGCGCGCTGCAACACACACACACACGCTCTGCTTACTGTTACTTATATGAGTATAGCGGTGTAATCTGTTAAAAGATTTACGAGCGTGTTACATGTAAAGGTGTATTAACCCGCAGTGCGCCACTTCACAGCGCTTGCGACGCTGACGATGCAACTTTCTGTTCCGCAATATCAGCTACTTTTATTTAGCCAAGTAAAGAACCTCAGGACAGCACTACTAAATTTTTTTGTATAGGGGCTTATTTATTTATTGCCTTTATAGGGTGACTAGCACACGACCCACCTAACGATGAGTAGTCACCGTTATTGATGGACGAAGCAATGCCTGCGACATAGTGGCCGGGGGCTTCTCCTCAAGCTTCGTTAGAACAAGACATATCTTACCGTTCAGGAACCACCGTAAAGGAAATTTAATTATTCTATCTAGCAGTAGCAATAATTGCACAGCGCCGGTGGCGGGTGATGCGATGTTGAGAAGAAAATGGAGGAAATGATCACCTCAAACAAATCTTCAGAGCACATACGAATATGGAACATACGATACAAAACTCAACTGAAGCCGAAAATCTTTGGGAGCAACGACAAAGAGGAGATTTTACATCGAGCGGGTGATGTTTGACGGTAGACCGACGCGGCGACGGTCCCAGCGTCGTTGTTTGGGAGGTTCCAAGCAAGGTTACAAATATGTAATCTTGTCTTGAAAATGTCTTTAGCGCGATTCAAGCATCTGTCATATATCTTGTGTTCTATGACGGGTACTCCGGTGCGCCTGTCCGCGGTGACTCGAGACTGTGCTTCAATACTGCGTCAGTGTCGTGAATAGTCCACGTAATGCAGAGCTGCCACGCCGGAGATATGTGTGACCCCGAGTGTTGATAGTCCAGTCGAGGGCTGCGAAGGTGCGTGCCGAGAACCAGTAGCGCGGTGAGTCGACTACCATGGACCTGTTGAGACTGCGACGCTGGCATGCTGTGGGACCGCCGCTGACGACTTGTGTTTAGTTGCAAAAGAGCGGGAACTGTTGTAGTCGAGACTGGTGACTGATGACGCAGTTGCTCCGGCACAGGTCAGCAGTTTGGGGTAATGATGTCATTAAGCAGGCGGTAACTTTACAATATTTCATTATTACATTGTCAAACGTCTCTGCCCGTAGTCGTCTGTAATTATTCGTGTTCACGCACACTGAACCGTCTTGCCAAGATCGAACTACATATTATTATGCTAAATTGAATGCTGCGGAATGCAATCTCCGATATTTTTTTTTTTTTTTTTTTTTTTTATTGCCTTTGTAGGCAGACGGGCATACGGCCCACCTGATGGTGAGTGGTTACCGTCGCCCATGGACTTCAGCAATGCCAGGGGCAGAGCCAAGCCGCTGCCTACCGCTTAATACTCTCCATAAGCCTCGTTTGAAGAAGGACATGTCATAGCGCTCGGGAAACACCGTGGAGGGGAGCTCATTCCATAGCTCATTCCATATTCAACAAACATTCGTGTGTGTTCCAATTTTAATTTATTTGTCTTTCTTTTTTGGGGATAAGGGTCACCCAGGGGAGCCCTGTACATTCAGCCACCCGTACTTGTCCGACAAATTAAAACTCACCCCTATTAGATATTATCAGCAGATGCTAAATATCGAAAAGTTAGAAACTTTATGTGTCTTTGCCGACATTATTAATTTGTTCATAGGATCGTAATGAAAATGGTCGAGCCAACCATCAGTCAGTAGACACGGGTACAGACACATAGAGACGGGTAAGCGGCTAGTTCCTTGTCATCTTGTGGTCACCTTGTGGTGTGTGTCACCTTGTGGTCCATGAGATCACCTGTAACATCAGGTAGGCCGCGCGGCTCGTCAGTGAATGTTAGCTACTAATGCTGTACTTTAATAAAGTATCTTCTCATCACTCGCATGGCAGCTCTGCATGAAACACTGAGCCGCTGGGTCGGGACCGCCTCGTGCAGCAGACTATACGTCTATCTGTTCTCGTTAAGGCAGCGTGAGCCATTCACAATCATAAAAACACAGCGTTCGCGACTCGCGAGTAGTAGTAGTAGTAGTAAGTGATTGTTCAGTAGGATAAGCGTGGTTGCCGAGGGTGGATGCGAAGCGCGGTCTACTGGATCCTTGGAGCGGATAACTGAGTAACTCCTTACAACATAAGCTATCTAATACTGAAAGTGAATTGCGAGTTAACACTCAAAAAAAATCAAAGTAGGTATTGTAATTTCTGCAAACTTTAATAGTGTCAATGTACGTATCTACCCATCTCGTGTGTACCCAGGATGTACTTAGGTATTTAACAAGTTGAGCACAATATCATCAGAGCGCGCTGGTTCGTGAAACATTGAACCCCAGCGGAGGGCTAGAGGAGGGCGGAGAGGGGGCCGCATCGCCACTTGTAGTCGCCAGGAATAGTGACACAAAACAAACAACATCGCCCCGAGGATACATACGTACTTGTAATATTATATAGGACGACTGTCTCAGGTTATTGTCATGTGCATTAGGTAATGAAGTACTCGTGTTTTGTACTAAACAATAACGTTGCTGGCGGAAGAGCTCCCAGACGTCCAGCCGCTGCACGCGGGCGGCGACCACCACGAGACACTCCCCTCGAGCTCTCCGACTAGCGAGTCCTCAGTTATCAGCATCAGCAGTCTCGCAACCCATTACGCGCCAGCCGTAGCAAGCCGCGCGTCGTGAGTAGTGTTGACTGAAGGACAAGGGCTCGGTGTGCTGGTACCGTACTGTGCCGATACTTGCGAGCTGCGACCGAGAGCGTCGTCACGCGCCATCCTGAACATCTCTAATGAACGATTGGCTTCAACGACAAAAGAATAAAAATGTATAATAAAAATCAAACTCATAAAACAATAATTTTATACTAGTAAAAAACGAATCAGCATGCAATTAAGACATAGATCTCAAGCCTCAAGATGAGTGTGGTGACATTCACGTTGTGATGTCTATGGGTATCGGTCTTGTTGGTAGGTATCGATACAGCCGTAAATGAAATTTTAAAAAAAACATAGAAAACGAAACTAGGTAAAACAAAATGAAACGTGAACGGCGCGGCGTATATACCTATGTACCAAATGGTAAGTCGCAATCAGCACAGAGCAGAGTGTGTCGAATGTAACGCGGTGTGCGCACGCGAGTCTGCGCAGTAACGGACGCCGCACGCCGGCGCCGCGCCGCGCTCACAGAACAGACGCGACGGTTACCAAAATGTACCAAGAAAACAATGGGGAGATTACCATTCGAAGCAATACGAGATACTGGTCGAGCACCCTCCGGAGAGAGACCCGCGCGTCGGCTGCGCGTCGGCTGCGTGCCGTCAGTGAAGCGCGACCGCAGTTTTTATGTCGTTGTGCAGCATCCGCCTCATCAAGGTCTGATTAACTTCGGCGCTGAGATAAACAGATATCTGGCGCGACGAGTCGATATCTCGATCCGCGTAGGTACTGCACTATAGAGCTTATGATTTAAAGAGATTAAAGAAGTAGCGAGGCGCTGAGACCACTCCTGCTCGCGTGACCTTGCCTTCAGTCGCGAATAAAAATAAAGCCTTATCAATATGATTGATCAATATTGAGACGTCATGACGACATGTCGAGACGAGCAGTTGACCGGCGACATCCAAGTGTGCAGTCTGTGAGGTCCGGTGGGCGCCCCGCGCGCCGGCGTCCGTCCGACCCTCGACATTAACGAGGGTCGACTGCCATGTCTCGAGCAGCTGGCTCGTTATCAATACACTCCTCGCGTGGTGAGGACAGAAGGCCGGGCTCTAACTCCGTAATAGTTGCAGGCGTGTCGGAGCGGTGCCCAGTTCGTTCGGTGGAGCTCAGACTGGCGGCGAGCAGGGAGCCGTCGCTCGTTATTATAACGCCGACTTTAAGCATGACACGAATTTCATACGTTGCCCAGGCGGACAGAGCGACCTGGGAACCCGCTCGGAGAATCTTGAGGTGATAACATATGCGAATAGAACATAGTACACACACAACAAACAGCCCCCATGACAGAGAGTGGTTGTATTATTAGATGTGGAATAGTCGTAAGTTCAAATACACGCGGACACACGCGACTCGCGCGCTGTACGTACGTACGTGTCGTCATTATTATTTGTATATATATGTATGTATAAGTAAGTACGTGTAAGTACTCGAATATATACATATTCGAGTACTTACATATTCGAGTACTCGAATATATACATATTCGAGTACTTACACGAACAAGGGTATAATTTGACATAATTGCAACTATATTTGAAACCTTACAACTTATATCTCAAGGTGGGTGGCGCACATACGTTGTGGATGTCTATGGGCTCCAGTAACCACTTACCATCAGGTGGACCGTATGCTCGTCTGCCTACAAGGGCAATAAAAACAATAATATTAATGTACTAATTGAAGTAAGCACCGCATGTGGTCAGAATCTTCACTGCATTTTTGTGAATGTCGACCTGACCGCATCGAACACAACAGTTTTGTTTTACTTGCCCTTATAGGCCGAGGAGCTTATGAGTGGCTACCGTCGCTCATGGACGTCTGCAATGTCATGGGCAGAGCCAAGGTGCTGCCTAGCATTAAGTAGTCTCCACAAGCCTTGTTTGAGGAAGGGTATGTCATAGGATTCGGGAAACACCGTAGAGATTTATTCGAAAGCCGGATGGTACGGTCCAAAAAGTTCTCTGGGAGCGCGTTGTGGATGAACGCAGTGACTAGGTAGTATGGATGAAATCTGCTCGGGTGACGGGCGGTGTGATGGTAAAAACAAGATGATAGAATCATCTCAAACAATCATTATTCCTCAAAGCATTTCCCATTGAACTTACGGTACAAAATAAAGAGAGAGATCAGTTCACAGTTCAGTTCATTCAGTTGGAGTCCATGTCTCAACTTTATAGTTGGAAGATAACAAGTTTAATGTGTTGTTGTTTTCATAATGTAACAACAGTGTTCGGGTGCCGCGTCACGTGCCGCTAACGACAACGATAACAACAATATGGAAGCCACTGAATTATCACTATCTTCATCTCAATCTAACTTAGTGTAATATAATATCGCTTTGTCGCATGCCGCTTTGCCTGTATCTGTATCTACTACTCGCACAACTACTACAACAAATAATGTATAAATGTAGCGCTAAAATAAAGGGGAACTTTAAAAGTTCTAAAAAAAGTTCACGGCAGCATAAAATATGTGTATATTTTAAGGTTGGTTCACTATAATCTTTTATATGCTAATAATTTTTTTCTAAAATAAAGCATTATTTGTGAAGATGTTTTTATAAAGATGATATTAATCCTTATCCAAATAAATACGTTATTCATTGCAAGTATTTCATTTAAAATAAATTTGCGTTTTTACTTTACGTCATATGATTTCAATGAGTATCTTAGAAGATATCGCAGTTTTAAAATAATATCGCAGCAAAATAATGATCAAGCGCGTGATGATGATGTATTTGGGGTTAAAATATGAAATTGCCGATTTGTACTGAAAAATTGAAATTCGTTTTTTTTTTCATTTAACATATTTATTTAATTAAAATATCTACCATTATTATCTGTAGGTACATTGCTGCCATCTAATAAAGTAAAATAAAGGTAATTTATACCTTTGCAATGGAACTCTTGTGATCTAGATTCTACAAACTGGGTGAAAGTATTTTGTACAGCCTCCTGGGAAGAAGACATCTGCCGTTATTGCTTGACCAGATCGGAGAAAGCTATAGTGAATAACACCATGCTGAGACCACCAAATAGTTACCATTACGTACCTTTTTATTGGTAAGCTTTGCTTAAAGATACTGTTGCGGCGTTTGACCTGAGGTCAGCCATTGCATTTTTCGCCTACGGTTATCGTAAAGAATCCACTTTTCATCACATGTCACAATTCGATCCAATATTCCTTCATTTATGTATCGATTCAACAAGGCAACACAAGTTTCAACACGCGTTTCTTTCTGCAGCTCAGTCAAATGATGAGGCAGCCATTTTTCATCTTTTTTATATTATTGAATTGACACAAATGAGTCAATATTGTTGGTAAGGTAACGTTAAACCATGCCACTAATTCCTGGGTAGTTTGGCTCGGATCGGCTTCCACCGTCTCTTTCAATTCATTGTTATTCACATGTGTGGGCCTTCCACGTAGTTCATTCTTCAAATCAAAATTTCCATCACGAAATGGTTTAAACCAAAATTGCACGCGACTGCTAAAGAGCAGTCCCCTCTCCACACGCAACATTGATATTGCGAGCTGTTTCTGCAGCGTCAGTTCCGCGTCGGAACTCGTGTTCAAAAATCACTCGAATATTCGAAGTATCCATCTTTCTTGTCTAAGTTGAATACAAAAAACAACTGAAAGCCGATAATCGAAGGTTGCATATTTTTTAAAAGAAGAATTTCAAAATGGTACCTATTTGAAAAAAGTTTCACTCAAAAATTTCAAACCATGAAGGTTCTACGTCAATCCGAAGTACCTATTACAATAGAACGGCAATTTCATACTTTAACCCGTAAGTGTGCGACGGCACAGTATAGGAAGAATAACTAGAAACACCCAAATTACTTCAAGATAAGCTTTGAAAATTGTAGATTTTTCTCGATTTCTCCAGGATCCCATCATCAAATCCTGATCCTGATGATTACAGGACCATTCGGGAAAATAAAAGAACTATCAGAATCGGTTCAAGCATTCTCGAGAATTCTGTGAATATCATAGAAAAAAAATGGTGGTCGAATTGATAACCTCCTTCCTCTTTTGAAGTCGATTAAAAACCGTGATTTTGGTACCTTAAGCAGCTCCTTAACATTCTATTATTCAAATATATTTTCACCTTCTACGTAAATGAAGTCGGGGGTATAATTTAGCGTTATGCCAAAGTAACTATTCCACGCGGACGAAGTTGCGGGCAAAAGCTAGTTACATATACATATACATAATAATATATTTAAGATTTACAATCAAAGTATGAGATATAATTATGAGTGCGACTGTCGAATTTGAACGTACCGCCCGAGCGATAATAAGTCATTCAAGTTAGGTATTTTGGGGTTTTTAATGAAGTGTTTTCAAAAGTAGATAATAATATATAATGTAACTAAACGTTATTTATTTTGAATCAATAATGAAATAAGTCTCACCTCTAGATATAAGGAGTCCAATTATAATTCAATAGAATAATGTCTCGGGCTCTCCACACAGTATTGTAGGACACACGAGCTAGTGTCGGCGACACATGGCCGCCCACACGCACACACGCGCTCACACGCACAGCCGCGGACACGAGCGCCGCGGGGGAGCGCGCTCACAGCACTGAGCACTGAGTGTCGAGCGACTGAACACTTGACACTGAACAGTCGACATTCAACCGTGGAGGAACTGAATTCAGCGCTGAAGAGGGAAGATTGCGGAGTCTCCACTAAACTCGCGCACTACTCAAGTTCTTAATAACTCAGGCAGAATACAGATAAAATTGCTGGAGAACACTGTCAATATTATAATACGCCATAAAGTTCGTTTTCTACACTACACTGTGTTCTATCGCAATAAAAGATGTGCTACTTACTGTACCAGCTATTACATAGTATACTTTAAATCGTAACCATCAAAAAATTATGTGATCGAAAGATTTATCAAAACGTTATCAAAAACAGAAGTTCTAGGGTAAAGTAAAGAGAAGTCCTGTATTCCAGGACTTCTGGGCTCCAATGGAAGCACGAGATGCGCGACTGTAGTACGTATTCCGCTGGTAGCATGACCTTCTACTTAAAAGTAATCATAATGTCAAAAACATCTTAGAACAAATCTTTGCATTAAATGAAATCATAACATGTTACAAATACTATAACAATGGTGGACATCGTGATGTTTGTTAGAGGATATTTAAGGAAAGCTGACTCAGCAGTGCGCGGCTACTCAGTCCTCGCGGAGATACTCTCCTTCAGTCAGACAAAGAATGACAATAGAGAAATGAAAGCATGGCGTGCGGCTGGCAGTTCATACCGTACCGTTGTTAAGTCGGCTGCGTCGATTACTAATAGATTAGGAACTACTACTATTATTTATTATTATTTTCTAAATTATTAGTACATATGGAGAGATTTGCGCACACTCAGTTCAAAAATTTGAGAAGCACTATTCTAAGCAATGTCTTCTAAATGTAGTTCAATATTAATTTTAATTAAAACAGCTAAGCTGATAGTTTCCATACAGAGTAACATTACAACAAATGCTANGTCGATTACTAATAGATTAGGAACTACTACTATTATTTATTATTATTTTCTAAATTATTAGTACATATGGAGAGATTTGCGCACACTCAGTTCAAAAATTTGAGAAGCACTATTCTAAGCAATGTCTTCTAAATGTAGTTCAATATTAATTTTAATTAAAACAGCTAAGCTGATAGTTTCCATACAGAGTAACATTACAACAAATGCTACAAATAAATTACATGTCATGTCATTATGTGTGAGAACAAGAGAAGGAGACACAGTCGGGCTTGTTCTCTGTGCCGTGTCCGCCATGTCCCGGTAAGCCGATAGCGAGTAATATTATCGGTGATATCTCGGTGTTGTCTCGCGCTATCAATGTGCTTCGCTGAAAATTGACGCTGTTTATAAAAATAATCTAAATCAAAAGTCGTGATAATCACTCATTAAAACAAATTGTTGTACCCGGTTGTACCTACAAACAAACAAGGTTGTGAGCACCGATCAGCGGTAGGGGCTCAATGTACGATAATCACTTGTTCATATTTTATTAATAATCAGTTAACTAGTTCAGAAATGACCGTCGCTAAAATTCAAACTTAACATTTACAAGTAAATTGTGGAACAAATTAATTGCACTAAGTACACTTGTACCACAAGTCGCCCTTACTACAGCAGTGCCTTTATTCAAAGTTTATCAAGCTTTAGCCTGTTTGTAGATTTGTAAGAGACGGGGGTGCGTGCGGATTTATTGATGTAAAACGTCCTTGACCTCGTTGACCTCGTTGACCTCGGCAGATCAACAAACAACGTCGGCGCTCGGAAGCGACTAGAGTCCAGACAGACCTTGTGGAACGACTCGCGGAACGACACCAGCACTCAGCAGCGTTGTGATGTTGTGACGTCACTGCGGCGGCGGCTCGTCGCGCAGTCGGCACTGTGTGACGTCACTCCGCTGCAGGTGCTGTTAAGGGGCGCCCGAGCAGCTGTTAACAATTCTTACTCTCCCGACTGAGCCCTCGAGTTGGCCAGTTGGTCCTGGTTAAACGGCAAGATTTCTGGGCTAACAACGATCCTTCCGTTCCACATACCTACTCTGAAATGGGGACGTGTGACGTCACAGCGATCACTAAACGGTCCCGGATGTTCTCGGGAGCTCACAATCCTATATACTCGTATGTATGTATGTATGATATGTATCTATACTTAATATTATAAAGCTGAAGAGTTTCTTTGTTTGAACGCGCTAATCTCAGGAACTACTGGTCCGATGTGAAAAATTCTTTCAGTAAAAATGGTAGTCGAACTGATAACCTTCTCTTTTGAACTCGGTTCAAAAGCATGATTTTGGTACCTTAACTAGCTCCTTAACATCATTCTATTATTCAAAAATATTTTCACTTTTTACATAAATGAAGAGGCGGGTGTTATGCCGAAGTAACTATTCCACGCGGACGAAGTCTCGGGCAAAAGATAGTGTATTAATAAAAGTCCATTTTTATAACATCGTCGCTGTTCTTACAATTACCTAAAGATTTTAAGACTAAGAAATCGAGATTTGTTTTCATGTACATGTTCCTCACTGTTGCGACATTACATTAGTTACTCCGTTTAAATGTTTGTTCGCTCATGGTAAAACAATTAGTTAATTATTTTATAGCACTGCGTACTTATTAACACGTTTATATTTAATTTAATTCATAAATTGAATTATACAATTATAAGAACATATAGTTATACAAGGACAGGACAAGCGAAAGACGTTTAAATTTCCAGCGCATCAGCTTCGCAGCAGACGCTCGGCGCGGCGGCGTGGCGCGGCGGCATGGCGCGGCGGCGCGGTGCGCGGACCACAGGGCTCTCCCTACGACTGATATTTTTACACACACGTCACACTGTATGAATCATAACAAAACCAACTTGAGCCCACTTGCTCCTGACTCTATTTTTAGCTGAACAGAGATACGCTATCGTCGCATTCCAAGTCAAACTATTTGTATTAATCTAATAAAAAATAACTAATTTCCTAATAGATCTGATTTATTTCTGAAGAAACTAAGTACTGAGAGTCGGTTGGTGTTGTTCGACAAGCGCGTCGGCCTCTGTGCAGTGCGGAGGGAACTCAGTCTCTGTGAACTAATCAACGACAGGAAATGTTAGTAGGTTAGTACATGATGCAGCGGCCGCCCCGCCCCGTGCCCAGTGTGCCAACGCTTTCTCTCTTCACGCAAAACAACTCTTCACTCTTCTTGGAGCCTTGTACACCTCACGACGCACCTGCTCTGCTGTTTGTACCAAGTCAGTCTAATCAATTGTTACTGGTAAAGTTAAAGTTAGAATGGACGCCGTTGTAGCTGGAACACTAGACAAGACTATAGCAAGTGTGACGTGTCATTCCACTCGGATCGTGCGATCTGTAATCTGATCCTGTGCGTCGTTTTAATGATTTGATAACTAACACTCCGTATAAAGCTAGACAAGCATCCGAGGAGCCAAGGGTAATAATGAGTGTATACGTTAACCCCATTGCTGGTCGCGGTCTACAACGGGCCACGCTGTTTGTACGTCGTCGTCATGGCAACTAAGAATTAGATTATTCAAGAAATTGTACACATTTGCTGCCATAGCTCACGTACACCGGCGCACACCTGCCGACCGACAGGCACTCGCAGCTAAAACGGAATATAGCCTTCTATTAGCACACCTAGTGTCTGCGCTACTACTAGTGTGGATACACTACTTATTAGAAGCAGGAGCGTCTCTGGTGATCATCTATAATATATTATTCAGTAAATGTAAAACAAAATTTACAATTATGTAGGGTCCTTAGCAGAGCAGTGATAGGTAAACCAGAGCTACGACCAGTCCGCGTGATCCCTGACCTAGCTTCAGAACGTAGCCTGTCTCTTGTTAGGTGCAGAGGGAGAATACTCAAACATAAGTTAGGACAAATCTCAAAATAGTTTGCTTCGGTGGTCCCACACTCCGGATGCGGATACGGTCGCGAGGTCTGCTCCGGGGCGGCACGGGGCGCGCAGGGTCACGCTCAGCACAACCTCACGCTCCAACAGAATGTACTGACTACAACCGAGAGCTGAGTGACCGGCCCGCCCCGCGCTTACTGAACCCTTAAATCAATAAGAACTAAACCACAGTGGCGTTTGTGTTTCAGATGTTTTCAAATTAGCTATTTTACACATTTTAAGATCACGAAAGCACCCCGGCTCAAGTAGCCATTTCAAATCTGTGCAGGCTTTCTAACCAAACCGAATAATACTATTATATTATTATTTGTGTCAGGGAATCCCGGAGTGCTCGGCAAATGTTTGTGTCCCTCTCGAGTGTCGAGTGTCTCGGTATAAATAGATCAGGGAGCGCGAATGTGTCGCGGCGGTGTCTCTGTCCCGGACGAGTACTGCGGCCCGGCATGCTGCATCGTCCGAGTACTGTGGGGGCCCTCCAGCGCTACCTTCTGTAATGGCTCTGATTCTGTGAGGACACTTGACTGCCCGGCTACTCACCAGCGATCGAACAACGAAGTGGGCTCGGTCCAGGCCTCGCGGATGATCTGAAGCACCTCCCGCAGCGCCGGCGACGGACTGCTCTCCTCACCTCCTGTTCAACATTATTCACTGTTTATTCATCGACAAGACAAGCTGCACGTTCACACATGAGGTGCAATCTAAATTATAAATTTATACACATACGTAATGCTATAGTTCTATTGCTCACAAGCCGCCCTACCTCCATTACCGCTAGTGAGGCGGTCGGCGAGAGCAGTAAGCTTCACTTGTTTCACGTGCTTTATACCAGCCCCGCGGGACTACACGCGGAGTACACGGGGAGTACAGTCGTACAAGGACCAGTACGGTTTCTTTACTTAAGTTCGTGCATGCAGCCTGTGAGGAATCCCGTAACGTTTTGGGATTGTTTTGTGATTTATCGAAGGTCGTTATTAGTAATGACAATGCACTCTTACAAAGGCTAAGATTTTGCAATTTTAGAGAGCCATTTGCTTTTTAAGCTCATATCTATCAGACAGCGGATGTAAGCAATGCTCGTCGTCTGAACTGTGCGTACTATGGGAGTCGCTCGGGTTGCTCAAGTCGCCAAGATTCCGTTTTGGAATCACTTCTCTTTTTAAATATTTTGTTTTTAATCTATACTAATATATAAATCTACGGTGGGTTTACGGATGTTCCGTTATAACTAATGAACCATTCATACGATTGACTTGAAACTTGGCATCCATGTAGAAAATATATGTACTTAATGGATAGGCTAATATTTATATGAGTGTTGGACTCCCTAATAATAATGACAATAAATAATACTGTTAATTTTAAATGCACAGCGAAGCGGGCGAGTACGGCTAGTGTATATTAATAATACTAATTTTCTATACTTAGTTAAAACAAAATACTACGTTCGTATCGCGGCATGATATCTTGAAAACTGTTTAATTTGTCGACCTTCATACAGTCTGAAGGCTATCACGCTAGCCCCCGCAGCCACTCAGCACCTACCACCAGGGCTCCTACACAGGGCCACTGCAGCGGGCTGTGTCGTGACTCCGGCCCCACTTGGCTCTTAGCACCAGCGGCGCCCGTCCTGGTGAGGGCGAGGACGCCTTCGGGCTGCGAGCGATCTCTCCGTTACAAACAGAGCGTGAGATCCGTCAGTCTATCCAGTAAAAGCAACCGCTCGGTGAAATATGTTCTTGTCGTTTTTGACGCTTTCTTTCGTAGTTAATGGAGGAGGAGGAAAATAATGTTAAAGGGCCGCCTTAACAGACCCCACAGCTCAGAGGCAGAGGACACGCGTGCACAGTAGTTCCGAGCGCGCGCGGTGGGAATAGTATTTATCATTCTTAGATTCCGCAATCTAAATTTAGGACTATGCCGTAAAAGATATTTGTAAAATTATAAGTTCCGATCAATTAGATGATTTCAAATGAATGACACGCTCGTCTCGTCGCTGTGAACTGCTTGCACACATCGAAATGTTTCGTTGTGACCGTTTTTACTCCAAAACAGAAAATGAAACTCGACAAATCGTTTAGGTTGTGACCGTACAGCGCCCACAACAGCGCGGGTGCTGTGCGTACAGCTGGGTACTCACCTAGCTGTGTAGTACGTAATGTAACAGATACTGTATCAACCTGCAAGTGGGTACGACTTGTCCACGGTCCACAGCGTATCTAGCTACGAGCTGCCACGAGCACACTGCGAGCAGCCTTTGTGTCCGCAGTGATACCGCCACTCGGCGGGTCACTGCGAGCTTGCTGCGCTCCTTCCGCGAGCGGCTCGCAGTGGGCTCGTGCCTACGTACTCACTGGATACTGTATCTGTTACGTTACGTGCTACACGGCTAGGTGAGTACACGCCGCGGCGCCGCCGGTGCGGTGATAGGTGTGTCGTCCAGGCGGCGCGTAGCTGCAATAGCCCATTAGGCTACCAGCTATTAGGTGCGGAAAAAATATATATGTTGTGTGGGTGTGTGGGTGTGTAGACGGGGGCGGGCGAGTGACCGTATTGATTGAACCTCGCTACGCGGTCCCCCCGCCACCACCACCACCACCACCACCGTCATAACACACTAACCTCACAAACTGCATAACGGACCCATTACTTGGATCCTAGGACGTATTCAAATGAAGCCCACGTTCGTTCAGTCTGGTATTGCAATCCAGTAGCATCCGTGTGTACGTACTGCTACTTTATTTACTTTGTTAGTAGATATACCCGCTTAAACCCCGATTAAACGATCTTTTGGTGATCGCTTCATTAGCATTCAATCCAGAAAACTTTTTCTATATCGAATTGCCCAAAAAGCTCATTCGGTAAGTTCAGTTTTTATTTACACACCGTGGCTCACTCAGAAGTCTGCCACGTCCTTACGAGTCCAGTCAATTCACTAACCCAACTATCAGACGCGTGCGGCTCTAGCAGCAGGAGCGCGCGTAGACCCGTAGCCCTGGTGACAGTGTTCGTCGAACTGTCGACATGTGTAATCATTGTGGTATGGCGTATTTCTACCACAAAGCAGTCATGCGCTTTTTTGAGACGCAGTACAGCCGTTGAGACTTGAACCACATGACTCAAGGTGGATGTCAAGTCTCCAACTAATATAAGAACACAGAGAATTGAAACTGTTACGGAAGCGACAGTAGAACGTTCCGGGCGGGCAGTGGACCTCGCGACTGGAACCCGAGCCGGGAGCCGTCGCCGATTGTCCGGAGAGCACGTGTGCGCGGCTGCACATTGTGCTGAAACGTAATATCACGTGAACGTGTTTGTATTGTGTCCGGTATTGTGCAACGCGCACATGTCGCGACCCTCCCACCCCCGGCGCACTGTGACGCACATTACGAGTGAACACTGAAGTCTGACTGCACTCGAATACGACAATATTTAAAGCAGGGCACGACACGGACGAGCTTCCAGCGAGTGGCTGTAGGCTGTCACGTCCGAAACTTGTTCATGTGCCCAACGTCCTACTAATATTAGAATTTGTTAGTTTGTGAAGACGTTTGGATGGTTGCTCAATGACATATAAGCCATTCAATAGATTTGCCTATGGACACTACCAACTGAGCTTCTCGCCGAATCTTCTCAGAGGGTCACGACTCCGATCTAGTCGTAGATTCTGCGAAGCACTGCTCTTGCTAGAGCTAGTGTTAACAAACTCTGTCAGGTTGAGCCGGTGAGGTCAGCTGCCCGTCCGGGCGTAGCTGAAGAAGTTCCTTAGGCTGCCAGCGAATAAGTGGAAAAACACATCTGGATGAATGTTAGCACATAGACACATGCCTATATACAGAGAGAGAATTATTCCTGAATCAAAGACCTGTCGCTACAATTTGTGCCTCGTGTGTCATGTGTACCGGACACACCAAGGACACAAGAGCAAGAACGCACTGACCCCAGAAAACATATATCTGTAACAAAGATACTGTCTCTAACCAAGAACCGAACCCGGAGCCCGTAATACAGCTGTCAGGGTCAGTTGCTATGTGACCAACAAGACGGTTGGATATTTACTACACAGTACTATAAGTAGTACGATTCTTTTGAAATTGTCATTTGGACAATTCGCTTATGAACATTATAATTGCAATTATTAGATCGTTCGACGCAAGCCGACCGAGGCCGGAGCGGACCGTTCTTGTATCGATGCAATCTCTTTCGACGGTTTCTGTTCTATTTTCTTATGTTCCCTTTGCGTCTTCTTATCATTTAGGACACGATGAATACAAAATAGCGAGTGTGGGTGCCCGCAGCCCGGAAATGTCTACTTGTGCCGCAAAACGACGATGCGATCCGCCTCGGGGGAGGACAGGCGGCTGGACGCGAGGGAGTCCAGGAGCCACTCCGAGAGCTCATCCAACACTCAGTTCTGTTCCACTGAATATAATTGGACAACATTATATAAAATGACCGTTACTTGAAATATTAAATTAATTGTACGACTGGCCAAGTTATGAATACAGATGAATACAAAAAATGAACATTCACATGACCGTGTCAGTCTCAGTGTGAGAGTGACAATCATCTTGATAATAGCTCGACCCAAGCCGGAATAAACATATTATTTATAACATATACCTACATACATATAACAATTAGTATCGCACGTAACATGCAGTATCCATAAATAAATGACACTGGCCGACACCGACTTATCCCTTCCAATAATTAGCAGCCGCACACCGCGCCGCGCCGCGGGGACGTCGTCCTGGCTGTTCGTGATCTTACACTACGAGTACATTGTCACAACAAGCGAGTCATGACACGAGCTCGCGGCGCGGCGGTCGCGTGAATGCACCAGGACTACCCCAGTACTGACTTGTATGTAATGTGGCAGGCGGCGCGACGCTGGAGTACCGCAGCACGCGCCCGTCTCCCAGGCGGGAGTATGGAGCAGCGCGGCTGGCGGCCCCGCGGTCCGGTGGCAGAGGACGAGTCGCGGCAACGCTCGACACCGTTCAGCCCCGAGGGCTCTAACTGTAGCGCGTCGCGTGCGGCCCGACCGGCGGCCACTCTCACACTGACTCACTCACTCGACACTCGACTCACTGGGCCAAGCGCGCTCCGACCGAACAGTAGAATTACAAGCGACACGACGCGATGGCGCGACGGCACGACGGCACGACGGCACGACGCGGACCCTCGGGCACATACGTCCAGGTCCGCTCGACTACGAAGCGAACTTGAAACAACCGTAAGAATGGTTTCACCGAAGCGCCACTCAACAGCTTATCATTTGAACCGAGCATTTGATGAAGATGACCCAGATGGACATCAATTGCACAACGGAGACTTTAAGCTTACGATAAAAACTAAAGTACTTACATCCGTGTCACGATTATATAATTAAGTAGTTTAGACAGTGAGAATTGAGATAAGTGCAAACAGCTCGCGCCAGCGGAGGCAGACCGGGTGCTGCTGTGGGCGCGGCGCGTCCTCAGAGCACTACTGAGTATTACTGAGCAGGATCTAACAAGGGACACTTTGCTCAGGTGCAAGGCACTGCAAGGTGAACATAGGACTTTTTCGTATGTTCACCTCCCACCGGAACAATTCATTTACATTTAATTATTTTGTTACAACTACTATTGTAATATTAAGGGTTAGTGTGTCTTACATAAAATTGTCAATTAAAACTTTAATATAATTTGTAACGGTCCTGTAACTAGTAACACGACGGCACTTGGTAGAGGCATCGTGCGCAGCGCGGCGACGTGCGGTCACTGCTCGGCCGGGAGCCGGCGACCTCCGCGCGCGAGGTCTGCGGAACTCACTCACCTCCGCCACTCGACACGACACACTCACACGCTCCGCTCGTACAAGATGTTCTCAAAGCACACTCCTACCAACGTGACCTCCGTCAAAACAAAACACAATCATTCATTGTATCTTATAATATAGTATTATAATATTTTTGTCATATAAACCGAATTTAAACTATAGTGAGAGGTCCCTCGAATGAGTGTAGTAGGAGGCGTAGAGCAGGGAGAGACGACGGGACATCTCGTGAGACGTGTCAAGTCCGTTCTCTCCAACACTACATCACGATCACGACCACTCTGTCAAGAGTGACACGAATGAGAAGAAGGAAAAGAGTATTATCTATACTAATATTATAAAGCTGAAGACTTTGTTTGTTTGAATGCGCTAATCTCAGGAACTAAGTACTGGTCCGATGTGAATCGAGGAAGGCTATAGGCTATATAATATCACGCTAAGAGTAATGCAAGCGGAGCACCAATAAAGAATGTTTCAAAATCGTGGTTTTAATCCCCTTTGAGAGCTTCCTCCGCTGCATGCGCTGCAGGAACGGTTAAAGTTTCGCTAAAATAATGTATGGCGGAATTGTTCCCCTTTAAAAGATCTAAAAAAGTGCGCGACAGCATATGTCTATATGTTAAGGTTGGCTCACTATAACGTTTTTTATGCTAAATAAATTTGTTCTAAAATAAAGCATTATTTGTGAACTATTCCACGCGGACGAAGTCGCGGGCAAAAACTAGTTATATTATACAGGGTGTTCCAGAACTCAACATCAAGCCGAAACGGGGTGACAAGATTGATTGTAACCATCATGAGAAAAATCAGAAAAAAATCTATCCTATGCAGTTTGGAAATTATGGGCATTTAAGAAAAACCTAGAAATTTGGTCAAACTGTAACCATTTTTCGGTTATTGTAGTTAATTTTTATTATTTTTGTTCATTTAAACTTTGGAACCGTAACCCTAAATAACATTTCTAGAACCACAGTCAACAGTAATGACACAACTGCCCCAAGTTTTCTAGAATTAAGACTATTTGTCGATTTTTGCTAACCCATTTTACTCAGTTCAAATGTTTTTTATTGATGTGAGAGATGGACACGTACATATTTTATGTAATATGTACAATGTAACAATATACTCGGTAACGGATGTGACTCTACGAGTAGGTAGATTTTTTTTATTTATTTTTTATTGCTTAGATGGGTGGACGAGCTCACAGCCCACCTGGTGTTAAGTGGTTACTGGAGCCCATAGACATCCACAACGTAAATGCGCCACCCACCTTGAGATACAAGTTCTAAGGTCTCAAGTATAGTTGCAACGGCTGCCCCACCCTTCAAACCGAAACGCATTACTGCTTCACGGCAGAAATAGGCAGGGTGGTACCCGCCTGCGGGATTCGAACACCGGTGCATCGCTCAACACGAATGCACCGGACGTCTTATCCGTTAGGCCACGATGACTAATAAAAGCTATTGCCGTGTTGTGTCGTGTCGTGCCCACGACGTCGCGACGACACTTAACAACAACACGCTCAGTCCACCAACTCGAGCACCGAGCCAACAGTCGAGTCCAACAGGTGTTGGACACGAAGGAAGTATAATTGTAAAGTAACTAAATACTTATAGAAATATAGGAAGTCATTATTGACAGTGTTAAACGTAGAAGAACTGAATCAGTCGGGAGCCTCCAACACGGACCTCTCGATAAATTTTAATTATCGGTTTCTTTACGAATCTAAAATGTTTAATTTATTCAAACAAACATTTTATAGTCACATCGCGGTTTGTCGGGCGTGTCGCGTGTCGCGTGTCGCGTGACGCAGACGTACTGTGTAGGCTGTAGCCGACGAGAGACCACGTAACTGTCAAAGAAAAACCTCAAAGTTACGAAAATAAAAAATAAGGAATCGTCAATCTATAATTAGCGACTACAACAACAAAGTACAGAGTGAGCACGATGTAGAACAAGGTGAAGCCCGTGCAGAGCGTCGCGAAGAGTGGCGCGGAACCCAGCGCCGCGGAGACACTGAGGCAGCAGCCGCACGCGAGCAGGGTCGCTCCGCAGGGGACCGCGGACCACACGTACAGCTCGCACAGGGCCGCGCTCTCGCACGCCGCGCCCGCCAGCAGCAACACGTGGAACAAACAAACCACAACTCCCAGCGCGCCATGCACAAAACGGACATTTTCCAACGATTTAGGAAGGCCGACACTCAGCAACCAACTGTTGCCGGTCGCTGTGAACAAGAAGATGAACACTGCCGCCCACAGCGCGCCAGCGAGCGCAACCATGACGACTCCGGCGCGCAGGGGCACGCAGCCACAGCACTGCTGCACCACGGGACAACTCGACAACGAGCAGCCCATCCACGACGCCTTCCGAATATATTAAGTGTATAATCTATGCTGACCACCATCTAACCAACTACTATTTAATTACATTCTGACGCATTATGACTTTTCCCTGACAAACACAGATTATATAAATCTTACCAGACCTGACAAACACAGATCATGTACACCAGCGGATATTGAACCTCATTTAGTTTTACTCGAATTAAGATTCAATTAAAAATTATGGGATAGTAACATTTTCAGCGAAAAACTATCCATTAAATGATGAGACATGCAGCGACAAGTACAGGGCGTCGGACCGCCTGCTGACCAATGACTTGTCTGCATGTTGCTACAGCATATGTACAGATGTCGTTAACACACTGAATTTCTCGCGGTACCTTCTCAGTGGGTCGCGATTCCGATTCAGTGGTAGATTCAAGAACTGCTCTTGCTAGGGCCAGTGTTAGCAAAATTTAATCAGATTAAGCCCATGGGTTTGCCTGCCGCTGCGTGAGTAGCTGGAATAGGTTTAGAATAGCCTTAAGGCTACCAGGGATTAAACAGGGATAAAGGAAAAAAAAACGTCGATTTGCGAGGCTGATAATTATGTAATGCTATACTTAATTTTATAGTCAGTCGGCTTAAGGGTCGAGCTAGACAACCCTTAGACTTTAGCTCTGTGAAGGCCAAAACCCTTTCGTTTCAAGTCACACTTGTGTAGGTCAAGCATTATAAAGTTCCTTTAGCAACCCCCAGCACCACACCGGTAATAAAGGTTTACTGGTGGTAGGACCTCTTGTGAGTCCGCGCGGGTTGGTACCACCACCCTGCCTATTTCTGCCGTGAAGCAGTAATGCGTTTCGGTTTGAAGGGTGGGGCAGCCGTTGTAACTATACTTGAGACCTTAGAACTTGTATCTTAAGGTGGGTGGCGCATTTAGGTTGTGGATGTCTATGGGCTCCGGTAACCACTTAACACTAGGTGGGCTGTGAGCTCGTCCACCCATCTAAGCAATAAAAAATAAAAAAAATAGTCTTAGTCCTGGTACGTGGACTTGTTATTCTCACGTACAATGTTCGCCTTGACACAAGACACTTACCTCGGATAACTCTTCGCATGAGGCAAACGAGCACTCTCCTCGCGTCACCGACCCGCCGCCGGCACCTGACCTTGACGACGCCCTCCCGGCGGCGGATCCGCGTCTTCCTCCCGTCGCTCACAGGCAAGGTCTCCTCGACTGCCGGCGTTTCCTCGCGCAACGCTGGTAACTCTATCGGCGGTAACGAAAACTTCTCCGGATTCAAACATTTTTTTGGCCAGAGCTCCTCGGGACTGCGCAAGTCGGAGATGGTCCGCGTCATCTGCAGCGGAGGCAGGATCCTGTTGTACGGTATCACCCGGCGGGAACACTCGTTGCTTCGCGAGGTGGAGCCGGAGTTGAACCAGATGTCGCTCGAGAACAAGGACGACGAGATGGAGTCGGGCCGCGCGAAGTCGACTGAGTGTTGAGCCTTACTGAGACTGATGAGGTTGACGGGACTCTTGTGGACGGTCACGTTGCCCAGGTCATATGCAGGCCTCGAGCTGTCACTGGTGTCGGTGTTGTACGAGGGGTCGGAGGTCGACGACCACAAGTCGAAGGGCGACACTGGCTGCATGTTGAGGAAGGCGCGTGCGACGTGAGGAGGCGCCGCCGTCACGCAGGGAGGCTCCGGAGACAGCACGCCGAACGGGTGTGTGAAGTAGAACAGGCACAGCGGGCGACTCTGTACAACAAAGTTCGTGATTTCAAATTATTTAAAGCATCTTGGAGGGCTTCAATGTTTGTTAGCTCTACACACAGAGGAGGCTTTGCCTCTGGTGCAGGGTAGGGGCGTTGCGGTGTCAGGGGGCGCCGGTCTTGGCACTTTCAATGAACCTGTTGGATTTTGACCGCACGATAGGTTAATGATTGCGACGCCTCATTACGCACGGGTATGTCCGGTCCCCTACACCCGTCTGTGCTGTAGAAACTTGTTAAACTACTTCTTGCTTCTGCCGCAAAGCAGTCGCACGTTCAGGTTTGAATGGTGAGACGGGGGTTAAATAATATAACTAAGACTTCGACCTTAAGGGGTCGCGATATTAACGCTGACATTAACCCAGTAACCACTTCACACCAGGTGCGCCGTGAGCTCGTCCACCCAACTACGGGATAGTAAAAATAATTGTTAGAAAAACAAATACGTCAAATGTCAATAAGTCGAAACTATCAGTTATAAATGGGTCGACATTGTTTCGCTTGGTAGAGCGGTGGGTGCCAGCCTGCGGCGGGTCCTAGCTCCTCACATAACCAAACTTGCGGAAATATCGATCATTATGACTGACACTTCAAGATTATGATTCATCATAAGGCATTCATACGGACGTATAAAGCTCGTCAATAACTTGTAAAATTTATTCCATTCTAATTTCGAACAACGATTTATATGTAAAAATAGGAAAAGAACTACCTATTTTGTCTTAATCTTAATCTATTTCTAATCTCTATCTTAATATATTTTCTAATGACATTAACAACTACATGTAAAACAGCGCCATCTGCTGTTAGTTTTGACTATTACATCAGCTTGGTAGGTATATCGTGCAAACATAGGTGTCGCTACTGGCTACTTTAATTCTTTTTAATTTCTTGCACCATAAATGTAACTCATGGTATTTATATTATCAAAATCCAAGGAACAATAACCGGAGCGACAGTATACATATATCGGATGGCAGTCTCTGCAACAAGCGACATGCGACCTCAGCCCGATGCCCGCGAGAAATATTCCCTTCACCAACGTTCATTCCTGTTGTTATTCAAGCGAGCTGAAGCGAAGCGGAGCGACCGCCTATGTATCTATCTATCTATCTCCTTTGAAAGTCGTTTGGGTCGCAAAGATGATTAAGTACATCAAATCATCCAACCGACCTTCACGTCATCCGTGGATGTAGAAGCATCAGAATGTCCATTCATTTTAATTTCCAATTACTTCTGAACTTCTGCCACTAGAATATGTTTACAGCACGCGAGGTAGGTCACTCTGGTCACGCATGAACACGTCAAGTCCATACTTTGTTCACTGAATGCTTTGACTGGAGCCAGCACGCGGCAGCGGTGCGGCGGCGGTGCGGCGGGTAGAGCGGGGCGAGTGCTGCGCGGCCGGGAGCGAACTGTGGCCCGTGGAGCGCGCGGCCCACCGCGAGCGAACCCGATACACTAACAGAGCTAGAGACGCCTCGTGGGAACAGGCGTGCACTCTGTAGTATTATGTTTTATTTGAATCGCTCCGTGCTGGCTTTCTTTAAGTAATCCGATAGTTAAACTGAAGTTCATTTTGAAACAAAGTTAAACTTAAAACTCTCACATTTTTATTGATTTAAGCTCCAACTAGGCTTGTCTATGCATAAACATTAGGGTGTAGTGTATCACAACACGGGTGAGTTTTAACTTGGTCCACTATAGGTAAAGTTCAGTCTCAGCAAGAAGCATTCAGTGATGTGTGTCTCAATGAAGGTTGTCAGATTTTTTTTTCAGCTTATAAGGGGCTAATGCTTAAATAGGCAAAAAAATACGGGAATTTAGCTTTTTGCCCGGGACGAATAAAAAACAAAATTATATAGTGACAATCTTTATTATTATTTTTCATATTTCTCCGAGGAGCTAGTCAGTTTTAACGTATTTTTATCGATTTTAACATATTTATAAAAATCAATACAATTATAATCGTACGGTTCGAATACGGGACAGTCAGTTCCGCCGGGACATTCTAAACTAAGGCTAAAATACGGGACATCCCGGGAAATACGGCACGTCTGACAACAATCTCAATGCTAGTCTCCGTCGCATAGAGAGAAGTAACGTGATAGCAGTGGTTGGTAGTAGCGAGCGGTGGTGCATCACTTCGATAAAGCGGCACGACACGAGAACCCTCTCATCGTGGCCGCCGGTAACTACATTCCCGATCCTGCGGAAAGAATGGAAAGCAGTCGACCTCACCCCAAACACGTCATTTCGGATCCTCCCGATCCACTAACGGTGCTTTTAGGTACCTCAAGCACCGGTCACCGTTCTCGTCGAACCCGTCGCTTGCGACGAAGGGCTCGACGAGTAAATTAACCCTCAGACACAGCCCACTGAGTTTCTCGCCGGATCTTCTCAGTGGGTCGCGTTTCCAATCCGGTGGTAGATTCTGCGAAGCACGGCTCCTGCTAGGGTTCGTGTTAGCAACGTCGTAAGGTTTGAGCCCCGTGAGCTCACCTACTAGTTAAGGTTCCGTTGAAATAGCCTCTCAAGGCTATCAGCTAAGGTAGGGAAAAAAAAAGGGTGGTGCAGTAGTAGCGGCTAGTAAGTGCCGAGGCCGGCCCTGCGCGCGGGTCGCGGCGGGTCGCGGCGACGTCGCCGGCTGTCTCCGGGGCTCGTGCGGTCCCGAGCTGCTCACCAATCGTTACATGGAGCGAAGCTTGCCGCAGCCTGAATTCTTAATAATATTTTATATATATAACTAAACCTTTCTCCAAACAGTAAGAGCTTAAGCTTTTCGTTCATTATTGGATTAAAGGAGGAAGTTACTGATAAATTTATTGTGAGCATTTATTTATTGATCGATAAAATTTAATTAGAAACAGACAAGCAAGAGGTATAACACACACACTGGACACACATTGGACTTGCAGCAGCACAAGCTGAGGGCTCCAGTGTTGCTCCAGGCTCGCCCCCCCCCCTTCTAATATAAAACTTGTCTTCGAATAATGTCTGTATGTGACTACATTTGATCAAAACGTATCTTGTTGTCCTGCGATACTTGGACAATACTATATTTACATGCGAAAAACGATTGAATGAAAATCTTGTCAAGCAAAAAATGCAAATATCTCTTATTTACCTACAGAAAATTGTGATAAAGAGATAATGCTATCATGTTTTTCCTTATATCAACACAGGTAGGCAGGTACGTAGCATGTGCGTACCATTTTATAACTTCAAATAATTTACTAGAATTTATGTTATTATTACGTAGGTACATTAAGTTACTCGTGTCGAAGTGACCGCGCCCTACGGGCCAGCAGGCGACCGGGGTGTTCAAAGGTCGACGAGTCATTTTCTGTTCTTCTTTCCTAGTTTTCTGTTACCACGCAATCAATGAGATATTCGAAACGTCGGGGTTTATAAAATGCTCGAATTTAATAAAAAGCTTAATTGAACCATAAAATTAGTTTTATTGAAGTCTGTTAGTCACGAGAAGAGAAGGAAGTACTGTATTCTCTAATCTTTTTTTTTATTGCTTAGATGGGTGGACGAGCTCACAACCCACCTGATGTTAAATGGTTACTGGAGCACATAGACATCTACGACGTAAATGCGCCACCCACCTTGAGATAAGTTCTAAGGTCTTAAGTATAGTTACAACGGCGCCCCCAACCAAACCGAAACGCATTACTTTTTTTTATAATTGAAAATTACTGCTGGCCCGGAGGCCTTTCCAGCTTCACCAGAACAGGTGGGCGAGCAAAGGCTCAGCCAGGAGGGGTGGGATTTGCTAACAACTGCCCGAGCGCCTCCGAAGGAGACCTAACAACTCAAGAGCAATTGCTTCGCGAATGAATCTACTACCGGATCGGAATCGCAACCCTCTGAGAAGATCCGGCGAGAAACTCAGCGGGCTGATGCATGGATTAGGCTGCATGTCGACCTCTTTGTCGAGTTCGACGAGTACGGTTACCGGGGTTCCTCAGCCTGCTCCTAGTGTTAGAGCTGAAGGTATCTAATGCAAGAGTTATTGGATCTGATGGATCCGTAAGGACGTGTCTAGGGCGACGACGGTGACTTGCTCCTGCGTGATCAGGATTCGGGGAGTAGTCAGCGGCGGCAACGATAAGGCGATTATCATGACGCATAGCCTTATCGAAGTAACGTTCCGACACTAACTTCATGTGTTTGCGGATCGATTCGAGGCCCAGGTCGTCGTGAAGGTCGACGTTCCTCACGAACCACGGAGCCCCGACGGCTAACCTGCAAAAGCGGGATTGCAGGGATTGGAGGGTGTCTATGTGTGTGCGGGCCGCGTGAGCGAACACCACACTCGCGTAAGTCATGACGGGCCTTATGCAAGTTTTGTAAAGTGTCACCTACCTTGTTCCGAAGGGACATTTTACTCCGCTTACAAATCATGGGATAGAGTCTGCCGAGAATAAATGCGGCACGATCGCGGACTGTTTTTATATGCGGGCGGAATGTCATGGATGCATCCAGGGTGACTCCCAGGTACTTGACCTTCCTAACCCAGGGTATAGGTTGGCCGAAGAGGGTGATCGGGGGTGTGATATTTCTCCTCCTAATGCGGGAGAAAACAAGCGGTGAGTTTCCCCTTTGAAATAACACTGCTGTGCTTTTCGCTGGGTTGATGTCTATGCTTACTCGCGATTAGGGACTTGTTTCTACTTGAGTAGTAAACGGTTGTGTCGTCAGCGAATAAGGCTAGATGGGTCGGGGGCGACCGGCGAATATCGTTAATAAATAAACTAAATAGGAGCGGTGAGAGAACGGAGCCTTGCGGGACTCCAGCCGTGAGTGGTCGCGGGGAGGAGCGGTTTCCCTCTACTCGATATCGAAAAGAGCGGTTAGACAAGAAGTCCCGTATGATGAGCACGAGACTGTCCGGTACGCCCATGTTGAAAAGCTTGAAAATCAAACCGTTGTGCCAGACTTTGTCGAACGCTTTTGCGACTTTGAAGAAGAGGGCTCCCGTGTAGATCGGTTTTGGTCGGTTAAGTCCTACGAGAATGTGATCTGTGAGGCGGTGCACCTGTTGCACGCATGAGTGATTTGCACGGAATCCGAATTGTTCATCGATGAGAATGCCCTTGGACGAGACGAAGTCTCTGAGGCGTTTGTAGAGCAGACGCTCATAAAGTTTGCCCAGAGACATGAGGAGGCTAATCGAGCGGGAAACGCATTACTGCTTCACGGCTGACATAGGCGGGGTGGTACCTACCCGCGCGGACTCACAAAAGGTCCTACCACCAGTAATCTCTGTAACGTCTGCCAATTTTTTTATAGTTTCCAGCATTCGGTGTAAAACGACAGTCTCATACCGCTCCATCCCGCCTGAGACAGAGCCCGGGCGAGGTAGGACTCGGCTGCTCTTCACGGCAGTTTTGTTTTTTTCCCTACCTATGCTGATAACCTTGAGAGGCTATTTCAGCTTCTCCTTAACGTGAGGGTGAGCCCACGGGTCAAACGGGAAGTGGCCCTAGTAGGAGTGAGTTCGGTAAAAAAGATGTCGTACACACTCGAGTGCCAATAGTTGGCCGCGCAGCATCGCCCCCTCACAGCACTCCGTAACCTTCACTGTGAGCTTATAGCAGAGACCTAGGAAACACATATTGGTACCTTTGGAGTGCCTGCCTAGTTTCAATAAAGCATTTGATTAAACGCGTCGTAGATTAATGAAATGGCGCGGCGCGTCTGAATCTGTCCGGTGCTCCCGCCTTTTTTGACAGTTGGTGGCGTGGCCGGCGGCTGCACGCACGCGCCTCGCACGCTCTGTAATATTCATTACCGAACTTATTTACGTGAAGCGAATAATTGTCTCATGATTGAGTGCACGGTGCCAGTGATAAGAGAAATTTATGAACACATTCGAGTCGGTAACTGGGCCAGCAGCATTTCTGATTAGATAAATGTTATTACATAGTTTTCAATTTTCATAGATCATTGCGGCGATCAATAAACTAGTTGTTACGGAACTAAGTATATTATTCTATATTGGAATCAAAATATACGCTCTATTCAGATATGTCTGTAGTCACACATCTCCATTAGAGGGGCCGCGACCCCCTGGGACAGACCGCAACAGGCGGGGATGCACGGTGGTGTCCAGGCCACTGGGAGATGTGAAACATGTAGGTACATAGCATATGCCGGCTGAGATTGAATCAAACTTAATGTGATCTTGAACTTGCTCGTAAGTGGTGATAATTGCAATTACCTAGGTACCTCCTACCTACGAGGTATTGACACTTTCCTAATCTGACAATGAGTAACACGCACATGAGTATTGTTCGACACTAATTTCAGCTTAGGATTAAGGTACTGTTTAACTTATGGCCTACAGATACCAACAACGATGATCTTAATCTTAATAATGTATTTTTTCCAAATCTCCGTTTTTGGCAGAGTACGCAAAGCT